AAAAACTTTTTTTAAATATATAACTTATATTCTAATAAGCAATATTACTAACAACATCATCGAATATTTTGTCCCCTCACCTCAAAATTGCTTACAAAAACAAACATTTTATAATTTGTACAACTTTATTTTATGAAAAAAGAATGTATCACATATGAACAAGTATTTTAATTTTTAATTTGTAACCAATGATATGTTTGTTTTACTTGATTGGTGGATAAAGAAAAATCACAATTTTAAGTATGTCACTTACTTACGCTAAGTGCAAAGAGTAAAATTTGGCACAAACTTAAACTCTGGCAACATTTTCCGCTTGGGGACAATTCCCAGTATTTTGCCACAACATGGCTTTAATCCTTTTAAATCGGATAAGCGCTATTGGTGTTAAGCCTTGTGTTTCCAATGTATTAGAACAAGTTGTATTCATTCGTTTAAATGAGTTTCCTTTATACCCTAAGTTATCCTCCTACATATATTTCAACTAATGGTAAAATATAATGTTTGCTCTAATTTTATACCTCCTCATAAGTTCACAATATACTTACAATGATACTTCACAAATTATCTCCTGGGTAATATCCAAAACTTGCAAAATAACATCATTGCCCCCATCCCTTAGGGTAATAACTGATGTGGTAAAGCTCAATACTCTGGTAATAGACAATCTTGTCTGTGCCTATGACACCATGTAATATGGCCAGTATATTGCCTTGACATCACTTTGATGTCTGCTACAGGAATGGTACCTAACCAGTAACAGATGTGGTTACACTCAATACTCTGGTAATAGACAATCTTGCCTGTGTCTATGACACCGTGTAATGTGGCCAGTATATTGTCTTGACATCACTTTGATGTCTGCTACAGGAATGGTACCTAACCAGTAACAGATGTGGTTACACTCAATACTCTGGTAATAGACAATCTTGCCTGTGTCTATGACACCATGTAATGTGGCCAGTATATTGTCTTGACATCACTTTGATGTCTGCTACAGGAATGGTACCTAACCAGTTACTGATGTGGTTACACTCAATACTCTGGTAATAGACAATCTTGCCTGTGTCTATGACACCATGTAATGTGGCCAGTATATTGTCTTGACATCACTTTGATGTCAGCTACAGGGATGGCCTCTAACCAGTTACTCATGTGGTTAGGTTACACTCAATACTCTGGTAATAGACAATCTTGCCTGTGTCTATGACACCATGTAATGTGGCCAGTATATTGTCTTGACATCACTTTGATGTCAGCTAGAGGGATGGTCTCTAACCAGTTACTGATGTGGTTACACTCAATACTCTGGTAATAGACAATCTTGTCTGTGTCTATACACCATGTAATGTGGCCAGTATATTGTCTTGACATCACTTTGATGTCAGCTAGAGGGATGGTCTCTAACCAGTTACTGATGTGGTTAGGTTACACTCAATACTCTGGTAATAGACAATCTTGCCTGTGTCTATGACACCATGTAATGTGGCCAGTATATTGTCTTGACATCATATTGTTGTCAGCTACAGAGGGATTGTCTATAACTAGTTACTGATGTGGTTAGACTCAATACTCTGGTAATAGACAATCTTGTCTGTGTCTATGACACCATGTACTGTGGCCAGTATATTGTCTTGACATCACTTTAATGTCAGCTAGAGGGATGGTCTCTAACCAGTTACAGATGTGGTTACACTCAATACTCTGGTAATAGACAATCTTGTCTGTGTCTATGACACTATGTAATGTGGCCAGTATATTGTCTTGACATCACTTTGTTGTCAGCTACAGGGATGGTCTCTAACCAGTTACTGATGTGGTTACACTCAATACTCTGGTAATAGACAATCTTGTCTGTGTTTATGACACCATGTAATATGGCCAGTATATTGTCTTGACATCACTTTGATGTCAGCTACAGGGATGGTCTATAACTAGTTACTGATGTGGTTAGACTCAATACTCTGGTAATAGACAATCTTGTCTGTGTCTATGACACCATGTAATGTGGCCAGTATATTGTCTTGACATCACTTTGATGTCAGCTAGAGGGATGGTCTATCTCTAACCAGTTACAGATGTGGTTACACTCAATACTCTGGTAATAGACAATCTTGTCTCTATGACACCATGTAATGTGGACAGTATATTGTCTTGACATCACTTTGATGTCAGCTAGAGGGATGGTCTCTAACCAGTTACAGATGTGGTTACACTCAATACTCTGGTAATAGACAATCTTGTTGGCCTCTAACCAGTAACAGATGTGGTTACACTGTGTAACCACATCTACACTCAAATACTCTGGTAATAGACAATCTTGTCTGTGTCTATGACACCATGTAATATGGCCAGTATATTGTCTTGACATCACTTTGATGTCAGCTAGAGGGATGGTCTCTAACCAGTTACTGATGTGGTTACACTCAATACTCTGGTAATAGACAATCTTGTCTGTGTTTATGACACCATGTAATATGGCCAGTATATTGTCTTGACATCACTTTAATGTCAGCTAGATGGATGGTCTCTAACCAGTTACTGATGTGGTTACACTCAATACTCTGGTAATAGACAATTTTGTCTGTGTCTATGGCACCATGTAATGTGACCAGTATATTGTCTTAGGGGGGAGGTGATGGTATCTTGTCAGTTACTCTTCTAGTTTTTCCTACCTTAATTTTACTCATAGATTACCTACTACAGTAGGCATACTTTACCATTTTTACTTTGTCAATTTTTTTCTATATTCTATTTTCTATTTTTCTTTTTTGTTCAATGACACTTATTACAGACTACTAAAACAACACACATTACATAATACTTTTGCATTCTTATCATACACGTTTTATTATAAATTGTCTAAATTTTGATATACCCTAAATTTTTTAATGTTTTTTTATTATTATTATTGCCTGAAATGTATTTTTCTCCACATTCATTTAAAGGTCTTCTAAATTCTTCTTACATTCAAAATGTTTGCATTTTATGCACAGAGATGAAAAATAAACAATCCCTTTGTTTCTGATAATTTTATTTTTAAAACGTCTCTTTTATTTGTAAATCAACTAACAAGCAACTATATTCAGATATCAGATATTTTTTCCAGACTTGTCTCCGTTCCTTAGTTGTTACCTTCTATGAATAAGTTACATTTTTTTATTTAATTCATCATCGAACTATTCAGTGTTTTGCTCCAAATGAGTCGCCTTGAGTTTTAACTGAACAGATCACAATATTACTTCCCACTCTCGAGACAATGACTACTAAGCTACCTCACAAGTATATTGGCTTGACATCACTTTGATGTTCCCGAGGGACTGGTTTCAATCAACCGCTTCTGGGTTGGTTAGACTCAATACTCTACTAATGATACAATCGTTCCTGTGTCTCAAATGATACAATATTACTTTGTATACTAACTTCATTTATATAATACAAAGTAAATTTTAGTGGCTTCATCGTAACAATAAGTGGTTTAATACCACTGCCGCAGCAATCCTGATGACTAAGCGAATTCCCATCTGCCCGATTGGATTTTAATAATTCAACTATTCCCTTAAATATGACTCAGGTTTATTTCCTATTTTTTTAGTATAAGGTGTAAAGGAACTTAGGTTTGCTACAGGGAAGGTAGTGGCATTTTTTTTTTAATATTAGTATCTTAGCTTGAAATAAATATATTTGCCAAATTTTATCAAAATATATTCATAAAAAAGCTATAACTATTGTACAGTACCTACAAAATGTTTACTTTTCTAGATACGAATACAGTAGCATAGGCTAATTTTCATCAAAATCAGAAAAAAATTACTCCATTTTTCGTGTTCACAAACACAATATATATATATATATTTGATGTATATAAAAATTTAAAACAAATTGTGTTACCAAAATGATCATGTAAATCGGGTCCGGATCTAAGACATACTGTTGCCACCTAGCCATCTTCTCAAAACGAGGTAAATTTCAATAAATTGATTACAACAAGTGCTTTTTTGTAATCAGCAAAACATAAGTCAATTTTTTAAATTTATTCTTTTCCTTCCATTATGATCAAAACACTCAGTGTTTATTACACTCCTGAGGTATTCACCCAATTATCATACATGAAAGCCATATGTATATTTAAGTGAGGACGCAGACATGCATTTACATTTTAACACAAGCTGTCCTGTACATTTCCTTGTAGTGATTTTGAATAATCAATTGTCAATTGTTTCCCGCTCAGGTTCAGCCCAAAGCTGGTTATAGACTTGATTTAGTTGCATTGGCTTTCATCTTTGACTGGGGAAAATATATAAAAATTCATGTTTTTGGCCCCTGAACTATTTTGTCAAGACAAATGTTTTAGGCAAAATGACTCTTCGGGCTTCAACTGATTGATAGGGGTTTTGTGGGGGAGTTGTGAGATGAAAATAAATGTTCAATCGGTTCCTAGAAAGATGCACGTGAGGTACCTACTGTGAGTTTTATCAATTTTATTCCTAAAGCTGCCGGCTAGCGATATCACATATTTTTTCTATAAAAACAAATGCGACCAGAGAAAAACTTAATGATGTCGCCGATAGTGATAACGTTAGGTTTATTGAGTAGGTACATAGGTTGCAGCTGGGGAAGGTATTAAAGTATTGTTTTTAGTAAAATAGATAGTATGAAATAGGTAAATAAATTTGATCAAAATAAACCCATATACAAGCAAACCACAACAGTTTACTTATTTCCCAACATGGGAACTTTAAATTCACAGTTTGTTTGGAAGTTTATGTGGGTACCTTATTTAGGCACAAAAACCACAACACTCCAGGGTACAAAATTATTTGGGTTTCTTATTTAGCTGTATAAAATTGTTTGGAAATAAATTTCATTTTTTGCGGGTCAAAAATGGGGAAAACCATTTTTTATCCCATAAAACCCCAATCAATGAGTCATTATCGTAGTTTAAATTATTGAGCGGAGCGGAGTGGATATTGTATGATTCAGTCGAAATTAGTCCACTGTGGTGGACCGGTAGTGGTATACCGAGTCGCTCGTTTTCGTTCTGATATCGTATTCGGACGGAATACCAACTGATTAACTGAATCCTAAATCGAATCGAAACGAAATTGTGTTGTTGTGAAGATGTTTGTGTTTATAGCTTGTTTGTACTATGATATTGCTAATAAATATTTGGATAACATGTTTATTTAGACAAATTTATTTATTTATTAGGAACAGATTCGTATTAGGATTGATTTTTTTCTCTGCTTTGACATACTGCATCGTTAGTTTTTTGAGTGTGGTAAGTTTATTCTTTTGTCGATAGTCTAACCTCAATTCGTTTAACTTGGCATACAAGATAAACATTATATTAAATATGCCTCTTTTGAAGCATTAAGGCAAAGCTTTAAGGTACGGTTCTTATTGCAATTGATAATTAATTGAATTTTTCTAGTAGGCTAGCCTAAATTTCTAAAATTTTAAACTTAGGACTAACTCAGGGCTAGGCCTTGGCCTAAACTTACTTTTCCAATTAGAGGGTTTTAATAAGACATGATTATCAGTCACTCAGTCCACTTGTGCTAAGATAGTTAACCGTAGATTGGTAATGCTAAAAAAACCCTTAACTTAATGGTAACGCTTCGTCAACGAGACTACTTTCTAAAAGAAAAACTTTAATGGGTTTGGACCGCTTTCCCTCAAAAGTGTTTGAAATTACTTCATTACAAAAATGCCACTGGCGTAGATACAAGCAAAAAAAAAAAATACGTACCTAATAGGCCTAAGTTGGAACATTTTTGTAAAAAAGCACTTTTATTAAGTTAACTTTGGTCTACTCACAGTTACCTATTAAAAACAATGTTGAAAATGAACTTTTGAGGAATTAAAGTCAGTTTACACATTCTTAGCACCATTGGCCTTGGTTTTTTCCACACATTGCCCTGGAGCAGCGGCTGCAGAAGGGTGATGTCATCCGGCGTTTCTTTGAAGGGCAGAAGCTTCATATTTTTCTACCTCTTTGTTGATTTGGAATATCTGGGGTAGCAGGAACATTTAAGCTTTAAGAATATTGACATTTGTTTGTCTTTGAGAGCATAAAGATTGTATTTTTGCGTTCCATCCACAATTTGAGTAAGTTAGGCCTAGTTAACAGTCCATAATTTTTCATAGGCCTACTACCTTCTTGAATTGGTGTGAACCTGGCAATAACTCCAGCCATAAGTAGTTCGCGCGCCCTCAAAAATCTATTGCTGGCCGATTTGCGGCAAAATACGGCCGTGTAACATAATACCGATGATGTCACCAGATAGAGGACACTTTAACGGACACGACAGTATCAATATCATGTACCTGGGGGATAAGGAAGGGGGGGTAAAGTCAGCAATAAGTAGAGCGCGCGCCCGAAAAATCTATTGCTCGCCGATTTGCGGCAAAATACGGCCGCGTAACATAATACCGATGATGTCACCAGATAGAGGACACTTTAACGGACACGACAGTATCAATATCATGTACCTAGGGGATAAGGAAGGGGAGGCAAAGTCAGCAATAAGTAGAGCGCGCGCCCGAAAAATCTATTGCTCGCCGATTTGCGGCAAAATACGGCCGCGTAACATAATACCGATGATGTCACCAGATAGAGGACACTTTAACGGACACGACAGTATCAATATCATGTACCTGGGGGATAAGGAAGGGGGGGTAAAGTCAGCAATAAGTAGAGCGCGCGCCCGAAAAATCTATTGCTCGCCGATTTGCGGCAAAATACGGCCGCGTAACATAATACCGATGATGTCACCAGATAGAGGACACTTTAACGGACACGACAGTATCAATATCATGTACCTAGGGGAAAAGGAAGGGGAGGCAAAGTCAGCAATAAGTAGAGCGCGCGCCCGAAAAATCTATTGCTCGCCGATTTGCGGCAAAATACGGCCGCGTAACATAATACCGATGATGTCACCAGATAGAGGACACTTTAACGGACACGACAGTATATATATCATGTCCCTGGGGGATAAGGAAGGGGAGGTAAAGTCAGCAATAAGTAGAGCGCGCGCCCGAAAAATCTATTGCTGGCCGATTTGCGGATAAATACGGCCGCGTAACATAATACCGATGATATCACCAGATAGAGGACACTTTAACGGACACGACAGTATCAATATCATGTACCTGGCGGATAAGAACGCGCGCGCTACTTATTGCTTACTTTATCCCCTCTTTCTTATCCGCCAGGTACATGATATTGATACTGTCGTGTCCGTTTAAGTGTCCTCTATCTAGTGACATAATCGGTATTATGATACGCGGCCGTATTTTGCCGCAAAATCGGCCAGCAATATATTTTTGGGCGCGCGCTCTACTTATTGCTGACTTTACCCCCCCTTCCTTATCCCCCAGGTACATGATATTGATACTGTCGTGTCCGTTAAAGTGTCCTCTATCTGGTGACATCATCGGTATTATGTTACGCGGCCGTATTTTGCCGCAAATCGGCGAGCAATAGATTTTTCGGTTGCGCGCTCTACTTATTGCTGACTTTACCCCCCTTCCTTTTCCCCCAGGTACATGATATTGATACTGTCGTGTCCGTATAAGTGTCCTCTATCTGGTGACATCATCGGTATTATGTTACGCGGCCGTATTTTGCCGCAAATCGGCGAGCAATAGATTTTTCGGGCGCGCGCTCTACTTATTGCTGACTTTACCCCCCCTTCCTTATCCTCCAGGTACATGATATTGATACTGTCGTGTCTGTTAAAGTGTCCTCTATCTGGTGACATCATCGGTATTATGTTACGCGGCCGTATTTTGCCGCAAATCGGCGAGCAATCGATTTTTCGGGCGCGCGCTCTACTTATTGCTGACTTTACCTCCTCTTCCTTATCCCCCAGGTACATGATATTGATACTGTCGTGTCCGTTAAAGTGTCCTCTATCTGGTGACATCATCGGTATTATGTTACGCGGCCGTATTTTGCCGCAAATCGGCGAGCAATAGATTTTCCGGGCGCGCGCTCTACTTATTGCTGACTTTACCTCCCCTTCCTTATCCCCCAGGTACATGATATATATACTGTCGTGTCCGTTAAAGTGTCCTCTATCTGGTGACATCATCGGTATTATGTTACGCGGCCGTATTTTGCCGCAAATCGGCGAGCAATAGATTTTTCGGGCGCGCGCTCTACTTATTGCTGACTTTGCCTCCCCTTCCTTATCCCCCAGGTACATGATATTGATACTGTCGTGTCCGTTAAAGTGTCCTCTATCTGGTGACATCATCGGTATTATGTTACGCGGCCGTATTTTGCCGCAAATCGGCCAGCAATAGATTTTTGAGGGCGCGCGAACTACTTATGGCTGGAGTTATTGCCAGGTTCACACAAGTCCTTCTTGAGAGGGTCAATTCAATTAAATTCAATTCAATTCTCCCCTAGAAACTAGGTTGTTGTGCACATTTGTAACATATGAGTTTTTCAACATTAAGTATGTTTATCATTCTATAAAACACACAAACATAAACTCAAAAAATGCAAACATTAAAAATTACGGTAAGTTAACGCTTCGTCAATGTGATTACTCACCACTATTGTACCTACATCAACTACTGCGGGGGTTGTGAATTTCCACCGCTCACGTGTCCAGCGGGTTGGGAACTGAGCTGGCGTCGGCGGAGAGGAAAAACAAACAACTGGTTTGAGCGCCAAATTCAAAAATGTGAATAGCGAAGTCTGTGAGACGACGGGTTACTAATCGAGGGTTAACCACACACCCAAGTAAACAACTCAGCCTAGGCCTAAGCCATTTCATTAATTTTGTAAAGAAACCAAAATACTTTAAACAAAAGTGAATGTTTCTTCCTAAAGTAGAAGTTGAATCGTACAGTTTCCTAAATACAAAATATTAACACAGTATAGAACCAAATTTTGAGGTTAAAAATGCAACTTATATGGTGGAACTTGCCTAGGCTTACTGCATACAATTGTTAAAAAACACATCTAAATATTCATGAGATTTGGTAAAAGGTAATTAATTCAAGGCCTAGTCCTACTCAAAGATCAACGCTTATCCCAAAAATGACATTCTTTTCCTGTGGAAAACGACAGATAACCCTGAAGAACATAAAACCTATCTTGCAAGTACTGTAACAACAAAGTAGGTAGTCAGTATTTTCTCTTAATGTTTCAGAAATCCTGATTATGAAATTCATTAGGTAACATAACATTTCTCTCAAACAGGTAGTTTGGAGTAGCCTAGTCGGACGTTGATATTGACTCTGGTCATGAGTTAGGCCTATCTAACGTGGTAACGTGTAGGCCTACCTAAAGACTATTAACGTTCCTTGTACAGTAGACCCCCTCTTAACCGACCTCGTAACTGATAATCGGATTATCCGCCTTCGATCGTAAAATAATACAGTTTGTTTTAACCGACCTTGCTTTGAGAGCAGTTCAGTTTAACCGCCGCTTTCTAGGAATCTCGGCATTTCCGCTCCCACGCTGGGCTATGAGAACTGAACCATACGCTTATCTCCACAGGATATGACTAAGAATAAGTTATTTTGTATTGATCACAAAAAATATAGCCTAGCATATTGTTATCATCGTTCGTAGTTAGTGCCAGCACATCTGATCTGATTTGTTATCTATGCGGCAAATTTATAACATCGTAAAGTGCGTTACGATTTTGAGAACTGATAATCTTATCGCTGGAGTAAACAAACAACGCAACTTGTAGGGAGGGCAGGGAAGGGGGGTTAACAACTCCAAGGTGAAGATAGTTTTTGTGCCTCGAGCCAGTGAGAGGCTATAAATAAACATCCTGTCTTGTAACAAAATGGTTGCTTGTATCTTTCGACAATAGGTTCTGTAGGCCTACTGTATTATGATAGATTTGGAAAGCATCAATTTATACATTTCAGTACTAAAGTTATCAAAATAGGAATTTTTATTGACTCTTGCCTAGTACTATAATATATACCACTGAAAGTAGGCCTATTTGACTTAACCGGCTTTTGTGTTATTTGTGACTTTTCTATCAATACGAAAAAGGAGATAAGAGTACCCTAGTTTATTTTATAAATGATGCAAGTATGACTTCAAAATAATAATTATATAACTCCAAATGAATAGCACTTCATTATGTTCTTATTTTAGGGATTGCCCGTTTTAACCGACCTTTTAAGTTTGCCTATCCGACATAGGTCCGGTCCCATTAGGGTCGGTTAAGAGGGTGTCTACTGTATAGGCCTAATTTTAAGTATATTTGTCATTGCCAGTAATTTATTTGCCACATTGTAAGTCATCAGTTTTTTTTTCAGCCCTTGGACCACCATGTTGATGATATAGACATCTTGCCTGCTAGAAAGCTAGATGATTCCTTTCTATGGCACTCGGAGGACGAAAACAATGGAACTGTCAAGGTTACAACATGTAGAAACTCTATTCAGGGAAAGGTTCTCATAGTAGATGATAAAGGTAAGTCTATTTTTAGAATTTAGAACTTTAAAATAAACATAGGTATAAACTTAACAATAACTTAAGCTTTTTTAAGACCTGTTAGATTGTACCCATAGGGGCTAGTGTTTTCAATGTTTATTTCGATCTTTCTGAGTACATATTGAATTAAAAATGTTAACTAGGCTGGTTAAAAATTATTACTGATTCTTTAGGATTCATTTATAGGCCTACATGTCTAGGCTAACTTATTTAATAGATCAACACTGCATAAGGCATACTGCGTTTTTCAGATTAGGGCAGGACTACACGAGCGTATGAAACGCCGCCGATGGTACGCGCAAAAATGTCTAGGACTACACGAAGCCGACAATCAGCAGCTGATTGAAAGCGAGAGCATTGACTACACGAGCGTATAGAACGCCGCTGACTGTCCTCGCCCAATGTGACTGACATTTGGCCCGTTCCAATATGGAAACGATACTGTACTGGTCGGATGTGTAGCTGGTATGATATATTGTTGCAGGCTGTTAAGAAGAAACGTCGTGCAAAGAGGCGTTGGTAGTCACACCCAACATTATCAAGTTGTTTAGTAACAGGGCAGTTTCAATTAATGTTTCCAGAGAATGTAGGATTTTCAGCAAAACAAATACAAATATTTAGACACAAAAAACAATCAGACGACTCCAATTACAACAAGTAGTGCAGAATTGGACTTGTCAAAGTGATGGGAGGGATGTATCAACCAATGCGCAGGAGAAATGCTAGTTGCCGCTACGTGCCGAGGGCCGGACTACACGAGCGTATGAAATGCCGCCAACCGTCTGCTTTTTTTGCAGAGTCAATAGCTTCATATGATGTGGACTACACGAGCGTTTTGTCTGCCTGGTGAGGACGCGAAATTCAGGCGTTTGGCAGATCTAACGCCTCCGGATGCGTAAAATACGCGGGCAGATTGCCGGCGCACCGAACTACACGTAGCAGCAACTAGCATTTCTCCTGCGGGTTGATGTGATACATCCCTCCCCTCACTTGGGCGAGTCAAATTCTGCATTACTTGTTGTAATTGAAGTCGTCTGATTGTTTTTTGTGCCTTACTATTTGTGTTTGTTTTCGGTGGGCTGTTTTGAGAAAATGTTTGTCTGGGTACATTCTATGGGTATTAAACATTAATTGAAACTGTCCTGTTACTAAATGTTTGATAATGTTGGGCGTGACCACCAACGCATCTTTGCACGACGTTTCTTCTTAACAGCATACCAGCTACACATCCGACCTATATCATGTCCATATTGGAAAGGTCCAAATGTCACATTGGGCAAGGACAGTCGGCGACATTCTATACGCTCGTCTAGTCAATGCTCTCACGTTCAATCCGCTGCGGATTGTCGGCTTTGTGTAGTCCTAGACATTTTTGCGCGTACTATTGGCGGTGTTTCATACGCTTGTGTAGTTCGGCCCTTAAGGATAGCCTCGGAGGTTATTCTTATTGAACTAAGATAACCGTTTTTTTTTTTTTTTTTTTATTTCAGTAGACCTGGCTTAAAACTGTCTTTGTCAAATAATTCTGAGATACGGTAATAACGGTTCCACATTAAAGCAGACTCATCAATCCATTCTGTTCAGGACATTGACAGTGCTGGCTTACTGGAAATGCTAGATTAGGCCTACCGGTAGTGATGTGGGCTGGGCCGCCGGTTACTTACCGGGCGTCGTGAGTAGCCTATTTACACACAGTTCTACATGATACCTGGATATTTTACATCTCTAATTAGACCTACATAGGCGTTCTGTCTGAAAAACATGTTATGTTATGTTGAAGATAACAGAAGTAACTTAGGTCTACACCCAAAATAGAGAGCTAACTTAAATTTGAACAATTGCACCAGACATTTGCTAAACATCCTGGGAAGGCTTATTCAGTGTAAAAAATCTTTTTAGATTGAACCCAGATTTAAGCAAAGTTTACTGTACAATATGTTTTAGGTTATGTTTGTAACCGACTCAGACATGAGATTTTGGATAATGGATGTTGTGATGCGTCTCTACCAAGTGTTGAACGCTACTCTTGCGAGACATGCAAGGATAACGGATGCTGTAGCATCTACGAATACTGCATTTCCTGCTGCTTGCACCCAGATAAAGTAAGTTTGTGGCACTCAAATTGCTTGTTTTTGTGGATTGAACTGTGATTAGGCCTAATGAATTAAATGCTTTCAATATAAATGTGTGTATTAAGATTAAGCGGAGTGAGGTATGTGTTGATAGCTTAACTATTAGGATCACGATCAGCTGATGTTTTAAATATGCAAGGTTCAAATTGTTTTAAGAAAAAGAAATCCCAGTTTTTTGTGTGGCGCTTTGTTGATTGGATGCGGTTACTATACTTACGTGCCTGGTAGCGCAACTTGCATTTGACTCTGAAATTTGCTAAGTCATACTTCATACCTGTTGACATAATTCCATCTGTTCCGTGTTCCACAACATTAATCATCATCAATCAAAATTTGCAATGACTGTGAAAACTGTAAATTTTGTTTTCAAGTTTGAGTAAGGGCATTGTAAGGTCTTCTTTTATTTATTCTGAACTAACTGTTTGACAGGCTTTTGACACTTCTAAATTTTAAAATATTTGTTACAGAAAGACCTTCTCCAGAATGTTTTGGGAAAGGCTCCAGAAACATTCAGAGTTTTGTTTGCTTCGGTGACGGATCATTTTGAGTTGTGTCTCGCCAAGTGTCGTACGAGTTCACAATCGGTACAACATCAGAACTCATATAGAGACCCGCAGGCCAAACATTGCTACGGAGACAGTCCACCTAGTACAGACAGTCTGGGAATACTTTAGTAATGTGTGTCCCCAAGTGCCGTACTAGCTCACAATCTGTACAACAGAATTTATTTAGAAACCCACAGGCTAAACGTTGCAGAGATTGTCCACCTAGTACAGACAGTCTGGGAATACTTTAGTAATGTGTGTCCCCAAGTGTCTTACGAGTTCACAATCGGTACAACATCAGAACTCATATAGAGACCCGCAGGCCAAACATTGCTACGGAGACAGTCCACCTAGTACAGACAGTCTGGGAATACTTTAGTAATGTATGTCCACTAGTGCCGTACTAGATCACAATCTGTACAACAACAGAATTTATTTAGAAACCCACAGGCTAAACGTTGCAGAGATTGTCCACCTAGTACAGACAGTCTGGGAATACTTTAGTAATGTGTCTAGCCAAGTGTGGTACGAGTTCGCAGTATGTACAAGCTCAGAACTTATACAGAGACCTACAGGCCAAACATTGCTATGGGGACAGTCAACATAGTACAGGCAGTCTAGGGACACTTTAGTAATGTGCCTCGCCAAGTCTCGTACGAACTCACAGTCTGTACAACATCAGAACTCATATAGACCCACAGGCCAACATTAAATATAGACTATTATAGATTTGGCACAACATCAGAACTTTCTTAGGAAATACTTAGCAAAAACGACTTGTTGAGTGTTATCTTGTTCAGTGTAGAGGTACTTTAGTGACGCGGTTTACGGTATTTGAAGCAATAGATAGTAAACTTATATAAATTCTAAATCATTCTCTAATTTGACTACTGTTTCAACAAGCAGTCTTTGGGTTCCCTATATTTTCAGGTCGGTTTGGGCCACATTAGCCTTCTGAAGCTGGTTCAGCCAAAAATAGTTTTTCGCCCAAGCGTGGATCGATCCCAGCTTAGATTTTTGCTATCGCAGAAAATGATTTTGCCATTATTGTGGGAAACCGTGATGATGTCCATGTAACTGCAGTAGATGTTCACGATTTTGCCATGGCCGAGGATAAAGTTCTCTATTTTGCTGTGGTTCAAAATATCGCCATGACCACAGAAGATGTTCTTAATTTAGTCGGTACCACAGAAGACGTAAGCAATTTCGCCCTAATGGGGAAAGAAGTTCTTGATTTTCCCTGTAACCGTAGAAGTTGTTCTTGATATTGCCTCAAACTCGTAAGAAGTTTATGATTTATTTGCGGGGTTAGGGCTATCGTGTACAATATTGTATTAGGACTAACCAATATCTGCATTGAGAATAATTTTTTAATAATCAATACCTTCCAAAGCAACCAGATGTTACAGCTCATGAGTGCCAACATCACCCAACCAAAAGTTTAAAAAAGCCTAGCTGCAACACCTCTGCAATAATGTCTATTTATTGTTGAATATTCTTGAACTGTGCCAGAACTGTTGTTTTAGTAAAGTATGGTTCACTTATTGCAATGTTGTGGACAATATGGTGATTTTGTGAGAAGTTGTTCATATGTTCGTGTCAGGTTCATATTAGTTCTTGTTGGGATTTTTCATTTATATTAATTGTTCGACTAAGGCCTATATTTTTTATAGCACTACATTTGTTTACGGCTTGATCAGATTCTCGTGTGTTAGATTATAGAGCGTTATAATAAACCGTTGAGTGAGATAGGTGTAGATACATTTGTTAGAGAATCATTTTTTGTGCTTTTTCAAAAGGATGGACTTCATATGTCCCTAATTTTGTGTTTAAAAATCAAAAATAATAAGTAAAGAAACCTAGACATAGCAGAAAGCAACAAAAAACTAATCTCTAAAGCAGTTTATTATTATCATTCATAACGAAATTTAAAAAAGTACAACCAAATGTGTATCCAATGTTCTGTCGAAACTAAACAGTACACAAACAATGTGGACACTAAAGGACCAAACGAGTCTTAACTGAATTAATCAACAACAACGTTGAACTTGAAGACTTGAACAATAATTATTAATCAGTAATTATTGAGATTAAGATTGATTTTAGAAAAGTAATAAAACAGGTAAAGGCTGCTCTATGAATACCAAAGACATTTTAATATTTTCTGAAAAATCAAATTAATTTTAATAGTAGTTTTATTTTTGTATTTGTTTTTACTTCTATGTTTTGCCTGATTTACTTGTGTAAAAATGTATATAATACAATATTTAGATATATTTATATTTCTTCTAGATTTTTAACTGCCAAAGGTTTTATTATTGAATAGTTAGTTCTTTATTGGTGCTTTATTTGTTGAATAGCCTAAATAAGTTGTTTTTTTTTAATTGTATGCACTAAAAGTTATGTTTAACTCTATTAAAATCAGTTTTAACTTGTATAATTTATTTTCTTCTAGTTGAGCCTAATATTTCCTATCATTTAACAATTTCCGGGGCTCGTGGCACAAACAGCTAATGCGCTGCATGGATGAGTGCGCGAAAACGTTTTAATTTAGTTCAATCAAAATGAGAGGCATATACTGCGTCCCAGTGATTTTGGACATAGTTTTACAAGAACCCAACAGATAGCAGCACTAAACAATACTGCTAGCCGTCCCTCAGTATTGCCAAATGGAGGGAAAAAGCATTGGTGAAGTACCCGGATACACCATCAAAAAATGCCGCAATAAAGCAGTTAAGCACAATTTTGAGGTTAGGTTCCTTCCACGATGCTACAGTACATTCATTATCGTTATTCTATCGAATACCAATAGATCCAAGCCCCACACTACAATATTTGCAACAATACCGGAAGAATTATACTAGATAGTACAACACTGGCACAATTTAAGCGGCAAACGAAACAACGTCTCACGGCATCAAAACAATAGTTTGTAAACGGCGCATTGACTAGTATACTTGTCGCGCGCCTCTGGAAATCGCTAGTGGTGACGAGATTACTCGTCATGCGCAGTGAACGTTTTAAGTCGTTATGTTTGGTAAACTAAAAAAAAAACTATTTGGGAGTAGCAGTGTAAGTATATAATATAATTCACTGTTGTTCAGTAACAGTAACTCACAAACTTCTTCAATGATAACATTAATTTTAAACATGATTAATAACCAATCTCTATTCTTTAGGAAAAATTCAACTTATTACTAACAAACAAATTTTGATTTGTTTACCAATGAGAATATAAACCTTCTCCATATAAATCAAACAGGTAAATAGTTAAACATTTAGACAAGGTACTAAAAACACCATTTTGGAACTTCGAAAACTTATATTTAAAACGTTCTTTGTTTTATAAGATACAATTTAATCCAACATACAGTCTTAAGAAGTCAATGGTGCAAAGGCTGACTTAACCCCAAATTTGAAACTAAACTACCAGATAATCTAAAAATAACATCAATTGTAGTGACATTGACATTTTTTGTTGACATTTAGTGTTGAAAAACCACATTTATTTACTTTTCTTATTACTTCCTGACAGTTTAGACATTCTAGAATCGGCAGAACTTCTTGGCCCTGAAAAGAGAATGAGTTGAAATTAGATTATAATAATATGGGTTTCCAATAATCTTGGGTCATACCTTCAGGAAAACACCAATGGTTTATTGGTTTGTTACGACTACGAGTATTCAACTTTTAATTTTCAAACCATATCTTGGAGTTTGTATCAAACAAAATACAACTGTAACACTGATATATTCTCCCCTTTTTAAGATAAATTAAAGTTGAGTAGGATTTAGGAAGACACAAGTTTCATAAATAGGAATTTTGTTATTTAATACTTGTTTTTTTTCCTTACCTGGCTGAATCGTGTCTGGATCAAGCATAATAATGCTCGGTGTTTGACTGCTGGGTCCACTTCCGATGCTGATACGAGAATCTTCCGAGAACAAACTAGAGGCATAAAATCAAATCAGAACCAAAAGTTGTTTACCCTAAACTATTGTTCTTTAAAAAAGTATTATTTTGAAATTTTTTAAGCCTAATAATGCACATTTTGGGTTTTTTTTTATCAAAATTTTGAAAATACTACTAGTCCTCTTCTTAATCAGATTTTATTTGGAGTTTCAAGTATTTAGGGTAGAAAATTGTCAACACCTTGTAAGGAGTTGTACAGTTAGAGATGTATAGGGGTGGGAATTGGCTAATAGTACATTGTGGATGAAGGATAGAACTTGACGTTGGTCTCAGATTTAAACTCGCTCACTTGGTGAGGAGCTTAATTTACAGACAACCTTCATAATTGCGTAATTAGTATTTTAGGAGAGCCTAAATAGCACATTAGGAGATTTACAGAGTAGAGATAGGAAACAATGTACTTTGAATTAAAATTCAGGAACGTTCCTTTGCTTTTCAATAATAGGTGTAGTAATATTATTTTTGTCACCGATTACTTCGTTGTCAAGTACGTTTAAGTCTAAACACTTTTAATAGGAAGAAACGATCAGAGTTGTTCCACTTTTTCCTTCCAACAGTTTAGAGGACGTTTCAAAAATATTGTATTACCAAGAGAGGTACTATACAATTATTTCACCTCTGTTCTACCAGTTCAGTTAATGTTACAAAATGTATTTTAACCCATTGGGGAAGGAATTAATGCGCTGCCTGCAGCACCCTCTGTCGGCAATTTATTTTACCGAATTTGTACACTTTTACCTTTACTCTAGTTGTTATAGAAAGAAAACCTTAGGTAATAAATTAATAATTTTTTTGTCAATGTTTTTTAAAGTAAACTTGATTTACAAATTCCAAAATTAATCCAGACACCAAATGACACTATAGTAATACCAGAAACAAAAGAACCCTGGGCCGTTTCGAGCCGCGCAGGTTTGAATGTTACGCCACACCTACCGGCGCAAACCACGTGATCTTTTCGTTTCTGCGCAGGTTTTTTTTGTTCGTGGTATGTCTATAGTAATAACATAGAAAACATTTTCTGTTTTACCTAACCGCAGCTGATTTTGGGTGATATCATTCTGGTTTCCAAGACAACACAACCTTGTTTGTTATTCGCAAAAATTAATAAGTAAATATGCAAAACAAGAGGCAAAATATTTATAAACATCATAAAATTTAGAAGAAACAAAAAGGGGGGAAAATAATAATAAAATAATTAGTGGCGCAGCGTAGTGGTGACAAGAGCGGCACTCGTAAGACAGCGGCCGTACTAGTAAGCTCGTAAGTCGGTTCCAATGGGTTAAGTTATTTATTTCTGAGGTACTATTATGTCGTGATGCTCGCTGTTAAGCTGCATTTTCCTAGGTGCGTAGTCCGCTCTCCTCTTGTTATGGGTAATTTAATGGTACTGTTTTCCTAGAAGCGGAGCGTAATATCACTTCTTCGTGCTCCGTTCCTGCACCAAATAGGTGAGACTCCAGTTATAAAAAGACCTATTTATAACCTATTTATTAGGGGTGTGTCCTATTTTCCCTATTACCTTAACTAACGCCCACCTCTATTACACAGCTGACCACATACATACCTGCGATGTGTGCTCAACGTAGATCCCGTAGTACTTATCTTGGCCCGATGACTCCTCACCAGAGGCAGAGTCAGCCCCTTCTCCCCTAAGTAGCGGTTCAGCAGTGGCGCCACTTCCGAGTATCTGGTTGCCAGTTCTGCCAACTGCTGTAGTCCCGACTGGTTTATGTCTTGAAGTTCCCGCAGCTCAATATCTTTCTGTTCAGACATTTACAATAGGTTTGCTTGAGTGATGGTTGAAAGATCAATATCAAAGGTAGCTGAGTGCATTGCTGATTTGATTAAAAGCGAGATCGTCACCAGACCCAAACGTAATTTATCATTTGGGCTGTAAATTAATTATACTATCCAACAGAAGGTTGACGTTACATAGTAACAAGACCAGGGTTCGTACCGTTCCCTTACTGCTGTGGCAACTGGTACCCTAGATGGTACTTGACCTCCCCTACTGCCTTCTCATGTAGAAAAAACTTTTCTGGGGCAATTCCAAAATTGGCAAGAACTGGCCAGAACCTGGTCATTACTGGGAGCAAGCCAAGTTCTTTGAGAACATTTCTGCAGCTGATCCATACATATTTGCATCCTGTGTCCTCCTTCCTTCTCTTCAGTCCTAAGCCCTTTTCTACTTGGTGCCAACATCTCAGTTTCGGTCTACTAGATGTGCAAAACCCCTTTATAAATTAAAATAGGCTAAAAAATAAGCACTAATCGTGAATTTAAAATTTAAAAAAATTAACATTGGCCGAACGGATTGCTATAATGGTGACGAAATAGCAATGAAATATAAACAGAAAATCAAAACAAATGGAAGAAATTCCAATCAATCACTTGTTTTATTTACAGCGTGGGGTGAAAATAGTTTGCACAATACATATTTTTGGTCGAGTTTTTGACCATGAGGCAACCACTAGTCTTGCACTATCTTAAAATATAAACTGTTTCCTTACAAAAAAAGTTTAAAACACCTCTGGCGTGGATGGACACTAAAATAAAATATACTAGTGGCTTGAAGGGACATAAGTCCCTGAAAAGCTCAAATATAAAACAAACTATTGTAATACAGTATAAACAAACTTAAATAAATCTAATACATATATCCGATATATATCCCAGTACAACATATCTTTTGTGTAAAAAATAGTTTGTTGTTTGCTTTTGTTTATGTTATTTTTAATAAATAATTTAAATTACTCCAAAGGTTTAACTCTGCTAAAGGCAGCAAACATGTTTGTGAATAAATATTAGTATACTAAGGTAGCTTTGGTCTTTCGATAATAAAAAGGCTTTCCTGATTAAAATATTGGAAATTGTCTTCGTCATATATGAAAAGGCAAATAAAGGTGTGTTGAGATAAGCCTAGTTCTTAGTTAAAACCGTTAAATTAGCACCCCGACCCAGTTATTATTTCCAAGTGCATGCTCCTTTTGTAAACACTACAATAAATCTCAAATTAAAAATGTTAGTAAGTATACAAAAAAGTGTAGAATAAATCTTTAACAAATGTTTTGAAATCAAAACAAAGCAGAAGTTTTCAACAATCTTGAATCGATTATTATTTAGTCAATGTACTTATTTCATGTTAAACATTCCTTCAACACAACAATAACTGTTAAGTTAGAAAAAAAAACTTCATAATTTTTTTGCAGCCATTCTAAGTTTAATCGTGTTTAATTCCTTTGATTTGAGCCATCTCCTATGATTCTACTACTTATCATACGCTTAACTAATTTACTTAAAAATACACAAGTTTGCCAATTGCACAGTAAAATAATTGATTTCAACATTCTAAGACGTAACTAAAAATATTTTTTATTATAGGTAGGCCTAAAGTTATCCCTGGTTTTATATAGTATACAGTACATTGCAGAATTGACTGGCAAATGAGTAATCCAAATGTAATATTGCTTACTGGTTTGAAGATTTATCACGATCAGCTGTATTGAAGTAAACAAAAATCAGCAGTAAATGGCTTCTAATGCATTTCTTATGGAGAACATTTTACGTTATATCCAATTTTGTTTTAAAATTTAGGGAATTTAACCATTTTTCCCGCCGTCACAGGATCGAGACCTTTAATTTGAGCCCTCTCCCGTCGTTCTACGACTTCCCAGTCGCCCACAATTTTGACGCAAAGAATCGGCTTACGTAATTAATATATAAATAGAAATAGATGGCTTAGGGACTTTTTACTGTACCTCGGCCAGATGTATTGGCACTCGAGACTCCTTAGGTTGACGAGCCTCTCTTTTGAGTTTCTTCAGCAGCTTGTCGGCTCTCAACAGCTTGGCCTGTTGTTCCTCCAACTCCTTGTCCAGTGCCCGAGCAGCCACGTCCTTGTCTCTCCACTCCCCTCTCACTCTCTCCTCACACTCCCCGAGATCTGACAGGGACAACTCCAACTCCTGTGGGCATCATATCAGAACTTGTATGTATCAGTGTGTCTTGTTGTTCCTCCAACTCCTTGTCCAGTGCCCGAGCAGCCACGTCCTTGTCTCTCCACTCCCCTCTCACTCTCTCCTCACACTCCCCGAGATCTGACAGGGACAACTCCAACTCCTGTGGGCATCATATCAGAACTTGTATGTATCAGTGTGTCTTGTTGTTCATCCAACTCCTTGTCCAGTGCCTGAGCAGCCACATCCTTGTCTCTCCACTCCCCTCTCACTCTCTCCGAGATCTGACAGGGACAACTCCAACTCCTGTGGGCATCATATCAGAACTTGTATGTATCAGTGTGTCTTGTTGTTCATCCAACTCCTTGTCCAGTGCCTGAGCAGCCACATCCTTGTCTCTCCACTCCCCTCTCACTCTCTCCTCACACTCTCCGAGATCTGACAGGGACAACTCCAACTCCTGTGGGCATCATATCAGAACTTGTATGTATCAGTGTGTCTTGTTGTTCATCCAACTCCTTGTCCAGTGCCCGAGCAGCCACATCCTTGTCTCTCCACTCCCCTCTCACTCTCTCCTCACACTCTCCGAGATCTGACAGGGACAACTCCATCTCCTGTGGGCATCATATCAGAACTTGTATGTATCAGTGTGTCTTGTTGTTCATCCAACTCCTTGTCCAGTGCCCGAGCAGCCACGTCCTTGTCTCTCCACTCCCCTCTCACTCTCTCCTCACTCTCTCCGAGATCTGACAGGGACAACTCCAACTCCTGTGGGCATCATATCAGAACTTGTATGTATCAGTGTGTCTTGTTGTTCATCCAACTCCTTGTCCAGTGCCTGAGCAGCCACATCCTTGTCTCTCCACTCCCCTCTCACTCTCTCCTCACACTCTCCGAGATCTGACAGGGACAACTCCATCTCCTGTGGGCATCATATCAGAACTTGTATGTATCAGTGTGTCTTGTTGTTCCTCCAACTCCTTGTCCAGTGCCCGAGCAGCCACGTCCTTGTCTCTCCACTCCCCTCTCACTCTCTCCTCACACTCTCCGAGATCTGACAGGGACAACTCCATCTCCTGTGGACATCATATCAGAACTTGTATGTATCAGTGTGTCTTGTTGTTCCTCCAACTCCTTGTCCAGTGCCCGAGCAGCCACATCCTTGTCTCTCCACTCCCCTCTCACTCTCTCCTCACACTCTCCGAGATCTGACAGGGACAACTCCATCTCCTGTGGGCATCATATCAGAACTTGTATGTATCAGTGTGTCTTGTTGTTCCTCCAACTCCTTTGTCCAAGGCCCAGACAACCAAGTCTTTCCACAAACTTATAGTTGTGACACAATCAAAAAGGAGTACATAGATGAACATGCCACACTCTGAAGATGACATTATGTGGCTAAATGTATCGGAGTATAGAATAAAAACTTATACAAGAATCAAGGTTTATACAAAATGTAAATCAACAATATATTGTCTTTATGCCACTGGAATAAAAATCCACTTAACTATCCACCAACCTGAAAACAATCCGCTATTCTTTGTTGTGTTTTGGGATCAAAATGTTTGTTTTTGGTAATATTGTCAGGGCACAAGCCCTTCTTTAAGCCGTATTTATTCCGTTCATTTCTCTCTAATTATCTTTATTCTTAGACCTTAATTATAAAATAATTCCTTTTCTTCGTTCAGTAAAGAAGAGTTTATGACTCTAAGGGTTACTTTAGTGTCTAAAGTTTACAATTTATACTAGTACAGCAAAATCTATCACAACTTAGCTTGCTAGTTATGCATGATCTAAAGGAACTTACATGAATCTGATTCGTAAAAACCTTCAAAATGGCCTGTCGGTCTTTCAAATTTTCCCTCGCCTCATAATACTGTTCTTCTAGTTTCTTCTTCTCTTGCATCTCAGGGCCTGAAATATGAAGGACTCACAGTGATTTTGTTAGAGAAATTATTGTAGTTATTGGCTATACCACAGAATGTAAGATACAAAGTAAACTCGCTTATGAGACGACCATGCGCTTTTAACTCTAGAATGTTGTGCCGGAAATATACTTGTGACAAGAGCCCGAGCGGCGAGCATCCGTGCGGAAATTCCTATTGCACAGGGTCATCCTCCACTTTTTGTGAGTGTTGTAGTACGTTAAACTGGGAAGGGTGGCGTCGTCCTGTAATCCAGCTACTAGGAGGTTACGAATTGTGGATATTTATAGACATAGACATAGACATAGACATAGACTTTATTTGCACAAAACATTCCATACATGTCACAACATTTAGAATAGGTGCATTGTCAAAATTAAATCCATACATAAAATATTTAAAATTAAAACTTTTAACTTAAAACTAAACACTTAAAAAAAAAAAATTCTAAATTGTAGTTCTGTAAAAATCTTCAATTAAGTAAAAAGCCTTGTCAATAAGAAAATTATCTATTGTATCTTTAAATTTGGTTTTGCTTAGTGACTTATGCCACTGCAGGCCATGTTAGGCATGTATAGGCATGCACTGTGGATGCGATACTCCCTGGTGTGGATTAACATCCGCACTAGTAAATACTACGACTATCCGCAGTACTATCCTGATAATTATATCAATTTGTATATACCAAGGCAAAAATGTGGTTCGGATTCCACTATTAACTGTAGGTCCCTTAAGGCCCGTTCACACGGGGCGAGTTTACAAGCTACACGCCAGCGTGTAAGAAGCCGGCGAGTTGGCGAGTGTGCTTGTATTCGTTCACACAGAGCTTGTCCACTCGCCAACTCGCAGACAGGTAGAAAGACGCCGGCGAGTCGGCGAGTGCGCTTGTAGTCGTTCACACGATGCTTTTTCCACTCGCTCAGTAGCTGGCTTGAACCAAATTCTCCAACATCTTTGAGTAACAAGCGCACAAGCTAAAGCAACTGTGTTCACACTGGGCTACTTTACACGCCTACTCGCGCAAAAGCAGGGCCGGATTTCCCAATAGGCCCAGTAGGCCCGGGCCTATGGGCGCAAGGTCCCAGAGGGCGCACGGCCGAGAGTATTTTTTTTATACCTAGGCTATCTAAATATAAAAATAAATAGTCACAGTTGATAAAAAAAAAACTCCAAAGCATTGTGATTCTGAAGTTCATAAGAAGAAAAAAATTTTATGAAATGTAAACTATATTTTCAGAATTACGCATCAATTTCGTTACAAAATTGGTAACGAACATTGGTTATACGGGAGTAGGCTGTAGGGATGTTGACGTTGACGAGCGCCCAAGGGATACGCATCGTATTGCCACTGCACTGCCATTCTGGCTCGGACTCGGCACTACTGATCAGAGTGATAAGGGGCGCATGCGTGCTAGACATGACATTGTTACAACCCTCACATCACAAAACAAAAGTTATTTATTAACTAATCGTTTGATTAGTTTACAACTATCTGCAGGATCAAGTTAAATATATCATAAGTTTTTTTGAATATTAAAACAACAATGATTTATTTACCTTTAAAATTAACGAAAAAATATTAATCTGAGTTTGCATTCAATTTTAGAAAAATTCAATACCCTCCAAAGAACCATTAATGTTGTCATTTTCTCCTCAGGCCTAAGGATCGGTACGCTTGGCCGGAATATATTGCTCTGTTTTGCTTTGGAAATATAACCTAGATGCAGTACGACCATGGATTAAATATAACTCAAGCCGACTTCTCATCATAACATTGTTAATTCAAAATTTTTCAATGTGTAGTTCATGTTGGTGACACTGGACGTTAGTTTTGACGTAATTTTGTTTCTATTATTTTAGGATTAGTTCTATGATGTGTGTTTTAATTTCTTGTAATATAAATAGGAGACGACCTATTGTTGATGATTAGATCGTTTTATTTTGGATAAACTAGATTTAAACATAGATAAACATACCCCTTAAATAATAAGAATTGTTTTCAGCTAATCCAAAATGATGACAAATCTACTAAAGGAGTACGTATGTTTAATCTATGGTGTCACGTACTGTATGGAGTTCATGTTTTTGGGCCTGGAATAATTGGAATCAATGGCCATGTTTTTTTGCAGGAATGCTCGGTGGGTTCAGCACCCCCACGGCCACAAACATGAGCAATATTTTTTTTTTAACTTGCAATGATTCCAACGAGGAGTGGTATTCAAGCAATTAACTTAGGCCTATGGGCATGATAAAGTTTTTAATAAAGGTTTGAAGGAAATTAACTGTGACCAGACTAGGGGGCGGAAAATTATTTGGGCCTAGGGGCGCAAAAATACTAAATCCGGCCCTGCGCAAAAGCTGGCGAGTTGGCGTGTAAAGTAGCGGCACCGTCAACTTTTTCCAGAGCTTTTTTACAAGCAGCTTTTGAGCGAGTACGTCGTTCACACTGAGCTATTTTACTAGCTGCGTGTAAAAAAGCCGGCGTGTAGCTTGTAAACTCTCCCTGTGTGAACGGGGCTTTAGTTGCCATTAGCTGTACGGGCTATTAATTAAGAGCTGTGTCTAAGGAATGTCGGCCTTAGTCACTAACAAGACTACAAGATCGCGCCACTCATCCTACACTCATCTCCATTCATACTTGGCTTAAAATACCTACTTTGTATGGTCGCCATTTAGTAAGAAAGTATTAAAGTTAGTGGGTGAGGGGGCGGTGTTGGTCTTTGCCATAGATAATCGTTAAGTGTACCATTGAGTATTTCTTTTGTACCTTACTTCTGATGCTATACTAAGCCCTTACTTCTATGAATGTAACTTTATTTACTACAAAACTCGAAAATATGAAATAAAAGATGACAATTTCAAAAGTAACATTGTTTGGTTGAATGGGTTTGATTGAAGAAATATTTGTCTTACACCATGTCTGACGATTAATTTAAGGTTGGATTGAGTTAGGAAATCCGTCGTAAATTAACCAAAGAAATTCATTCAAAATCAAATTATAAATAATCACTGTATGAATTTTAGAAATGGGAAAGTTTTGCATTCCCTGGAGTAGGCCCTACACCAACCAGCTAATAACCAACCGATAAAAAAATAGAAGTGGAGTGGATGAATAAGTAAATGTATTAAATAATATATTAATTATGATTGTTATCTAAATTCACTACTACAATGGACCCTTTGGGCTGCTGTAGACTAACTATCAGAGTCGATGGCATCCAAGTTGCGTTTGTAGCAGTCGTTGGCCGCACTAATGACCCTCAGGGTGTTTTCCATCGCGGGGATTTCGTTTTCCGCTTTCTTTATCTTTGAGTCCAAATCGTCTCCGATCTCTTGCAGTTCGTGCCTCTCTTGAGCTATCTATATTTTGAAAGAGAACAAACTGTATTAGTATATAGTAATAAACAAGTAACTTAATTTTAATACTAATTACCTTATCTCAATATCTTATTTATAAACAAATATTTGAAATCTTGTTTGCTCGTTGGGTGTTGAACAAGTTGACAAATAAAAAGCAATATAAATCCTGTAAATCTACACTTTAGGTGGTAACTTAAGCTTCCAAGTTGTTGTAAAGACATATAAAACAAGATTTTCTCACCTTAATTTTAAAATGTGCGACAGAAAAGTTTTCTCCGCTGTCCTCCTTACCCAGGCTGTCCATCACAATATCGTGCCTGTTGGAAAATAGTTAAATTATTATTGTAGAAACTACAATATGAAACCTTTTACTGTGTTACTTTTTTATACCCAGTCATAAAAGACAAAGTATTTTTCTACTTTAACACTCAGAGCCAAAACTTCCTTTGCCACTTTTTTGCTGTGGTTTTCCATATTTTCACTTAGCGGTTCACAATTTTGACCATAATTCATTAAATGTATAGGAAATGTCCACAAATTCTGGAAAATAATGAACTGTAACTAAACAAACTGATCATTTTATTTTTATCCTAACGTTAAACAACCTGTCAATAGAGTAGTGGTTATGATTTTGATGGCCAATTTGAGAAATTTTGGATCTTTAGATGAAGGATAATCAGTTTTAACACAGAGAAGTAAGGTACAGAGGAAACCATTCAATGGTACACCTAAGTGGTGTCTAGCACTAGTGTTGGTGTCTAGGGCAAAGTCTAACACTGCCAATCCCCCCCCCTCACCCTCATGTACTACAACGCTCATTGTAGGGGAACACCCTGTGCCCTGTTTGATAAGAAATTCTGATAAGTGCTCGCCGCTTAGTCTGTCCCTTGCCTTTCACAAGGATATTTCCAGCACACAACATACCAGAGCTGAAAGTGCAGAGTCGTCTTGCACTCAAGCTAATACACAAGCTTTCTCTGTACCAAGTTCCCCTGTATTTTTAGTAAAATGAGAGTAGTTAATTTCCCTGAGGTATTTTAGATGAACTACTGGAGCTATTGTCACCTTATTCATTAAATCAAATAAACAACATACTTTTTCTGCAGTTGACCAATCCTTATATGAAGGTGCTCAAGAGCTTTCTTCAACTCGGATTTTTCTTCTTCCAAACTTCGTTTTTTCGCAGCCATCAAATCCATCTGAAGCCCAATCTCTACTTTTCTTTCTCGAAGGGCCTGCATAACAAAACCAGGTACAAGATGAGATTCTTTATGTCTGTTCTGTTGTTAAAATCTGTTTTATTTTGCTTACTACAAGTTCTCAAAGCACAACAGGGTTGAAATGGGAGATGATCTCATAGTTGATAAGAAGTGAGCATTTACTATGGTTGAAATACTGTTAACTGTCGTCAATATTACCAAATGGCAAACACTTCACTACGTCATGTGTTATAACAGAGCTTGAAACCAATTTTAAAAAATTAAAAAAAAATCCATTTAGTGCTGTTTGCTTAAATGTTAAAAATCCACTTTCAGGCATCTCTCTTTGGCATGCTTGTTGCCTATAATGGCTCAAAAAAGCTTTAAATTTGGGATACCCTGTGAGTCAAAAGATTAACAGTTGCATTCTCCAAATGAATAATGTAAATACTCTTAATTAGCTGGTAAATGATTTCCCAACCCCATCACATACCTCACCTGTGCGTTGACGTTAATTAATTGTCCGCAAGAAAACATTGCTGCACACATGTTTCATACAATTTTCAATTATTATCCCACATTCTGAATAAAATTTCAGGGAAAGCAACAAACTGTTATCCCTATCTCAAGTTTTATCAGCCTAGATAGGATTGAATCTAAAATTGTTTAAGCCACTCACATTTTCCAACTCGAGTTTTTCACGTTCCAAACCGAAGACCTGGTTCTCATGTTTGGCCAGAGTCTTCTCTCGTTGGTCCACACGCAGCTTCAGTAGATTCAGAGTTACCTGAAAATTTGGAGGAATAACAATAGTTGAGTAATTTGTACTCGCTTTTATAAAACGTTGAGTAATAATTATTCATTAGATTGTCGAATGTATAAGGATGATCCGTATGCATTATAACAAACTAACACCAAACGGCTAATTAATCATCTATAACTTATTTGGTTTTTTTGGAAAAAAGCTAAAAAGTTAAGTTAGGAAAAGGCTTAGGAATATAAGGAAAAAGGAATGGAAAATAAACCTCATTTAATTCGCCTTCACAAAGGGGCTTCTTCAGGAGGAGTTTCAGAAGCCTAAAATGAGAGAATGGTCTCGGAACTTTTGTATGGATTTATCCAGCTATAGTGCAATAACTTGTCAAATCATTGGTTTTTAAAACTACTACCACAAAACTCTTTAATTGCTACAAAAAAATAATCGCTTATTACCTCATGATAACATTCTCTATTGACTATAAGTGCATACGTTGCGCTTTTCCCAAATAAAATCAACCCTGTTGTTCCCATCTTTCAAAAAAGGCTTTAACAGTTAAAACACTGATCAAGTAACGCTCCACAACTACAAACCTCACTAGAAAATTTCCAAAAAACCATCAGCATAATCTAGCATAGGGAAACAGTGGTACCAACTTAAAATTGTAACCTCCAACTGTATGTAACCACACCTGTGTCTGCTTGTTTGTTTGTTGCAAAGCCGTCAGCTGTTTCTGCCCTCCCTCCATCAAGTACACCAGTTCCTGCCGCTTCTCTGTCAGTTTCCGAGACTGTTCGTTCTCTTCGTCCACTTCTGCCGATAGCTGAATATGCTCGTTCTAAAAATTAAATATATATCATTGTAGAAAATACTTTATTTTTCTTTCCATAAGATATTTATTCTTAAAAATATTTACTAAACCAAGTGTGTAATGTCAAACCATATATATCTTTGTGTTGCTTACATATTTTACTATGGTACTACTGGTGTTGCTAACATAAATTATTTTGACATTTAACTAACATAGTCTTTAAAAACTCTGAATCCATTAAATATCATAATAAAACAAACCTTTGTGCTGTTTTTGAACAGATAAGTACAATTAATTAAGGTACTCTTCAGCAAATTCTGCTGCAGAACTTAACACTTGTTTTTTTTTTTTTTTTTTTTTTTTTTTAGTAAAGAATTTTCAAAAATCGTTTAATGATTCTACACTTCAAACAAAATTACAGTACTGTCAATAAAAATACTTACATAACTGGATAGTTTACGTAACAAATGAGAGAACATACTAATTATTTCAGATCCAAACTGACTTTTTTTTATAAAAATAGTAGGGTAATTCAAATAATTTTCATTCAAAATTTACTTAAGTTATACAGTGGGTGATACATGATAATCTTATACAAAATTGAAATATTTCATGTTTGATTATATTGTGTTACCTATTACGAAGACTTCCCCTCTGTAAAGGTAAGCCTGCTCATCCTCCAAAACAAAAGGAACCTATCAAATCCAAACTGATGTAGACCCGCAAATATTATTTTTCTAATCATTCCTTAAGCTTCTCACATTAATGAAATAGTATTGTTTACCTTATGGCATTCTTATTCACTATAAGTTGCTATGCGTTTCATCACTCTAACATCTTCAGGCATCCACTATAGCTTCGTCATATATAGCTACATAAAACAGTCATTAGACACGATTTACCCAAACAACACAACCGTTATAGTCGTCGCGGTGGCCACATCGCATGTACGCATACGATTAATCCTGCACGACCAGGACAGCAGTTTTCATATGACACGCTGTGGGCCTAAGATATAATTGCGCCCCTTCCCCTCTTTTCTCGCGAGGATTTTTTCTCTTCCTCTCCCCCCCCCCTCCTAACAAAACATAAACCTATGCCCCTGGACCCAAGCCCATTACCTACTAAAGTGTCCCTGTAAACAATGCCAGAAGATAGAAATTAATATTCATCAATATTTAACGTTTCATTAGTAGAAAATTAACTTTAATCCCACCTTAGCTCGGTTGTACTGTGCAGTGACCATGTTAAACACTTCCTTCTTCTTCTTCACAGCTTCTTCCAGCTCCAGTATCCTCATCTTGAGTCTGACCTTTTCCTCGTCTGTCCTCTCGCCTTGAAGCCTGCTCAACTTGCTTTCCAGGACCATACTTTCCATGTCCTTAGAAAAAATTATATGGTTAACAATACCGGTAATTGTAGACTCCAATTTGAATCCAAAGTTGTCAATATGTGTTGTACAATGACACCCAAATGAACTCGTAAATTTAGTCGTCAATCTGTCTAAAGATCAGTAGTCCAGTTAACAACACAACTACGACACTATTTGTAGGTATATATTCAACTTATATTCTTAATTTATTTCATGTGAAATTTCCATGCGTAGATGAACTGTGCCAATACAACAGCATTACATAAAATTGTTAAATGAAAAATACAATAATTGAATGAAAAGCTTAAAAGCTGAAAAGCTCATTGATGAAAGAAAAATTTATTGTTTAGCCCAAAAATGTTTTAAATTACCCATAGAGAGCATTTCATGTAGTAAATGCAATTTTATGAGTTATGTTGAATTTTGAACAATATATCGCTTACCAAGAGCCTGAAATAAAATTAATAAAATAATGTTTGATAATAATAGAAAAACCTCATCGTACATGTTGTAATAAAATATTTTTGTTCACTTATATCAAGAACTTACAACCTCCAATCCGTATTTTTACAAAACTTATTCAAACTTACCATATCATACAGCACTTGTTCCTTGTCGATTATTTCCTTTTCAATTTCATTCACTCGTTTTTCAAATGCCTGGAAAAATAATTTAGCTGCAGCATTTCATTACAAATTATTACATACCTGTACCAAAAAGTAATAGTTTTAAACATTGCATGCTCATTGAAGCTTATAGTTTATTATGCCTTAAACCAATCCCTGTAAGAAATACAGTACATTTGTTATTTCAGTGTAGATCCAGTAAATAACATTTTCTAATTCATTATTATGCTCAGAGGCAAACAAGGCAGTGCCTGAGGCCCCGTGCTTTTCAAGGCCCCAGCACAGCAGTATTTCAGGTATTAAGAGAGGCCTGCTATTGAACTTCGCCTTGGGCCCCGCAATCTTTAGGGCCCCCACTGATTATGTTTACAGAATAAGACATTCAGTACGTATAGTTTCATGTAATTTGTTCTCAATTTTCTAAATGAACGCAAGTATTTCACTTACCTTTGTATTCAAATTCAACACCTTTATCTCATTTTCAACTGCTTCGTTGGTTCTCCTTATAGCCTCAAGCTCAGATGTTTTTTCAAATACTTTTTCTTGAATCTTGTCAAATTTAGTTTGTAATTCTCTGTTGTTCTTTTCAGCGGACTAAAATTAAAATTTTCACAATCAATTTCCTTATACCAAAAATGGTTTGCTTGATACACACATTTTGTACACTTTTCAGATCATTGTTCAACAAATATTTGTACTTTAAAATCAGCCAACCTAACTCATACTTTGAAATATATCCTATGTGTGTAAATCTGTTTGCTTGGTAGCCTATATCTAGGATAGCTTTATCTAATATTTTACAGCTATAGTAGAGGTGTTTTTGGTTTCTCAAGTTATATTATTGCATGCTATTTGCAGTGACGTAGCCAGGATTTCAAAATAGGGGGGGTCGACCGACCGGGGGGGGGGGGGCCTAGGTAAAAGGGGGGTCCGAGAAAATTAAAAATATAGGCCCTAAAACAGTCTTTTTTTTAGCTCTCTTGGCATTGAAAATAATCAACCCCAACGTCAATACAGTATGATTATATAATTTTACATTGAATTTAACAAAAAAATATTATATTTAAGATTGGAAGGGGGTTCCAGACCCCCATGACCCCCCCCCCCCTGGCTAGGTCACTGCTATTTGTGATGATGGCATTAAAACAGAAAAATATAAGAGTTTAAATTGAAAACAAACTTGAAGCCTTTAGTTTGACAACAAAGAAACTTTACTTAGTTATTGATTGAATTGGATCAACTTTTTTTAACGTTTAAATTATAGTTTATTATTTACCAGTTTATCTGACCTAAACAGTAGTTGCACACATCAAAGCTCGTCTCTACCACTTGTTTACCTTCAATATGTCGTGTATCTCTCTACTCCTCTGCGCTGACGTCATGTCAGCCTCCTCCAACTCCCGTAGTTTCTCCCTCAACTCTTGAATAGGTGAGTGAAGCGAGGACAAGTGGATCTCTCTCGCTTGGATCTCGTTGGTCAGTTGCACGTTGCGGCTTCTCTCTTTGTTCAACGATGTTCCCAGATCAGTAATCACACCTCGCAAAGTCGTTACCTGATGAAAGCAAATAATCAACACCGAAAATACAGGAACAAATTTGATATAGAGCACGAGGGCCTGGGTTTGAAGAACTTTTTTATGGCAGGTTTTAGTGAATGGGAAAGAGTCTATTTAGGCACAAGAAACTCAAAAAACTTTACCCTATACAAAAAGAATATTTCACTGTCACTGACAGCATTTTCAACCGAGTAAGATGATCGATTGATTGACCCTCCAAACTGGAAGGTTGATTCATTTTTCAGCATAACCGATCATACATAAGAGATAGATCTTTGAGCAACTGTGATGAGTTAATGACTAGTTTTAAACGTTTAGCAGCACCCAATAATACATTCAAGCAGGCTGAAATGAGCATGATGCTCGAAATCAATAACCAATGTAGGCTAACATCTTTTATTAATATTTACCATCCTGTAAATTATTATAGTATCTAGATGAAAATGTATCGAGTTGTACTGTATTAGATCAGTGACCATTAGCCGTATGAATTCAAATAAATAAATCGTTCAGGTGTAACTGGTTTTTATATATTATCGGCTATAATCCGGTTGGTTAATTAATCTAAAGTATGACTTACCTCACTCTTAAGGTTATTAGTTATCTCGGTCTGTTGCAAGTTCATGTTCCGTTGGTGAACCACACTATAATTCAATTCGTCCAGCTGTTTGCCGAGCTCTTCGTTGTTTTCACACTGAGCCTCGTAAAACTTTCTTTCGTCGGCTAGGACAGCAAACTTTTCTCTGGCTAACGTTTTTATTTCTTGCAGCTCCTGATTGAACAAAAACTCAAAATAGTATATCGTGAACGGTTTTTCTTTGTATTCCTAAACAAAAATTAAAAAATTGTAAATCCAAGAATTGATATAATTTAAGTACCTGAAGAGTTGAATCGATAGAACTGTCTCTCTGATTAAGAATTTTCACAGCGTTTTCCCAATACGATATTAGGCTCATGCGCTCCTTGTGTGCCCTCCTGAAAGAAAGAAGAAAAAACTTCCGTAAAAACTAGTTTAGTTTAGTTTAGTTACAACAATTTTTCGGATCAGGATTTTACGTCCTACCTAGAGTAGCTGAGTAGTTATAGTGTTCTCCCAATAATCATAAGGTCACCAGTTCGATCCTTAGAAAAGTCAGTAGCTTTTAATGGTTTGAAACAGCTGTTAATAAATTACATAATGGTTCTGGCTAAGAAACAGCTGATCTTAGTTAGTGACAACTGACAAAGCTACACAGATCATCAGATCATTCTCACTTATTTTTAAACTCACCCTACATTCGTATTCAGCTTAATATATGAACCAAAGCATGTGTTGTTTTCTTAAAGAATTGAAACGTCAAATGTAATAATGTAAAAAATGTACATGTATCAGAAAAAAAAAAAATAACGGATTAGTGAGGATTCTTACATGCAAAGTTTATGTTCTAGCTTGGAAATATAATCATCCATAAAATATAAGTTTTTTTTTTTACTGAATTTTAAAAATTGTTTGAATAACATATCCAAGCAAATATTATTTTAATGACCCATACTGACCTGAAGAGTCTAGAGACTTGTTCGAGCTGGTTCTCCAACGTTGTCATCATATTGAGTTCATTTGTCAGGATCGCTTCTCGTTCATTCACATCCGCCTTCAGTCTTTGTCGTTTCAGTTCCATTTCCTGCAATATGTGAATACAATACGATCAATAATAGACCAGTTTGAATGTGTTAAAATTTGTAAAGATGTCTTGAAATTAGTTTGTCATCTACTTCCCCCAGTAATCCTGTGGCTATTTCCAGAGCCAGGATCTTTTAGTCTCCACCCTTCTTACCTTAAACTTGGCATCATCCTCTAGTTTAAATCTCTGCAGCAGATTGTAGTCTCTGTCTCCAGCCTCCAGTTCCTCTTGCCAGGATTTTCTTGCCTCTTCCCCCCACTCTACTAGGGATTTCAGGTGTTCCAATTTCTTCATACTGCGGCTTATTTCCTCCTGAAATGTCATCCATTTTTTTATGTGATAATCAAACAAATAATGTGAGGTGATGCCCAACATTTTTTCATTAATCATCATATGTTGCTGACGGAGCAACTAAAACTGTCAATTTATATATATATATATATTTTTTTTTTTTTGTATTTTTAAACTATAATTGCTATCATCCAATTTACATTTTGCAAGCATGTGTGTCATATTCATCAGGGGCTCTTTTTATGCTCTCTATTCGTTTTTAAATTCAGTATGGTAATAAAATACCGTAAAATTTCCTGCATACTTGCTTAGGGGTCATGAACATGTACAAACCTGCAGCAAGTGTTGTTTCTCGTCAGAGTCTTGCATCTGCTTGCACATGTTGCGAATATTCTGCTCAAATTTCTTTAGATTGAACTCACTCTCTTTCGTCATCACCAATTCTGTCTCGTGTTGGTTTCTTAGAGCAACAATGAGTTGCTGAAACAATCAAGGTTTATTTCAGTAAAAGCCCTCAGAAATATCTTAACTTATAGAATTTATTGGTAATTTATTTGTTGGAGAGCTTTACCTTACGTTAAGATTAAAATACTGCCTTGAGTTGATTTGTCATCCTATGTATTATACCTTATGTATATTATTATTATACCTGGACTCTCGGACAGGGAAACGTATGCTGTATGTGTTCAAAGATCGTACATTTCATCCTGAAATTATATTCAGCTTAATATACACGTTTAAGTGAGTAAGATTTGGTTATGAGATCCTAATAAATTAGTCCCATTTTTCATAGAAAAGGTCTACTAATAAAGTTGTCCATTTTCCCAAGTGAAATGGGTACATGGAGCAAGAATGGCTAATTTAGTACAATCAAATTTGAAGAATTCCATATTCAAGTTACAGGTACGGTATTGTAAAATGTGCACTAGATTCCAAATATGTGATTGTTAATCATCATTTTGTAGTGAATAAGAAATAATAATATTACCTACAATATTTGGAATTATTATAAGTATAATTACCATAATCCTATAGGTATTTATCTAAATATGGAATTCCCAAATAAGTATTTCAGCATTATATTACATTAGGTACTCTTGATTAATGTTATGCAAGACTAAAAATATTCTCTTACTTGGTTTTGATCCTTCTGATTTTTTAGGGTTTCAATTTGCTTTTTGACCCTTTTATTTTGTTCATCTTGAATTTCAAGCTTTATAATGAGTTCTGCCTTGAGCCTCAATTTCTCTTCAACCTGAAAAATTTGCAAATAATTTGTATGTACCTGGAGTTGGATCTCAGCAATTTAAATATAGGTAGGCCTACCGAAAGGCAAAAGAGCTTAGAACCCTTCCTCCTTCCTCGTCTTAACCCTCCAACACTTTTTGAATTCCCTCCCCCTGCAACCACATAGTTAAGCTTTATTTCCTTCTTTTGTTGTTTTATTGTTTTTGTCTTACAGAAATCAGTAGTTTACAAAAGCGCAATTGTCAGTGTTATTCATTTTGAATTAAAAACTGACTGGTGTCAGCTTTAACATGGGGATCGAATGTACACCATAGTCAAAAGGTTTAGCTTCTTACACATCTTTTTAAAAATTCTTATTTTATTATTTTTTCAACATTCACTTAGGCCTATTAATTGTTTACAGGTGGAATCAACTTGATCAAGCTGTAATATTTATAAATTAAATATTTATTTAAAGTCCCTGTACACTGAAACACTTAAAACTAAAATATTTGTGACCACTTTTTGTTCTATAATTAGTTTTAATTGAAAGCTTACCTCTTTCTGAAGTTTTCTGTTTTCCTCATTTGCAACAGGAACATGAAGTCCATCAGTGCAACCGATTTGCTTAAGAATATCTGCAAAATCTTTATCCATGTCTAATTTTAAATACAATTCACAAAAGCTTCATAAATAGTAAGGATAAGTTGTTGTTATTGTTATGGATCAAACTTATAAACTCCACTATGGGAGCATTTTTTGAACTCCGGCATGTTGTCATAGCAACGGGAGTTGAGAGAACAGCCTACATAGAGGAATTCGTCTTTGCATGATAAAGGCAAAGAAAATATGCTAACACTGTAATTTAATATGCAATGTATAACTATTCATTTATAAAATATGTTACACATTTTCATCAAATAATTATTATATACTTGCGTACATTCAATCTAAATTACATGTTTTATTTTTAACAGTATATTTCTCTAGAAGAAAAATAAGACATTTTAAACAGCCGCGGCATCAGTAGAGAGGACAAGAAGACAACAACAGCAAAGCAGAAAAGAAGGCAGAAGGCAGGAGTAAGAAGAAGGAACAAAGTAAACATAACTTCAGTCTCAGTCTTCGTCTTTTCGTCATCTTTTCTTTAACTTGACATTTGAGATTTGACAACCTCAACTTTTACCTAGCGAACGTGAGACGTGTAATTTTATAAACATGGTTGTCCGTCAGTATAATGATGAGCTTCAATATTTGGAAAAGCTTACCCCTCATAGCTGGAAAATCAAAAAGGGCTTCCAGCCAAATATGAATGTAAGTAACTTACATTGAACTTAGCAGCTAGCTTGTAGCCGGTTTTAAGGTTATGATCATGGTCAGATAATAGGATATCTATTCTTTTTTTAAATATTTACTTCAAGCCTACCATTGGGATTTAGTCCAATTAGTACCTATTAGATATTTAGGAGTTAAACATTTTTCCTCCAATTTTGTCGTAGGCCTAACCAGCTTCCTTTTGATCTAGGCCTAGTGTCTACCTAGGCCTAACTTAGGCCTAGGCTATGCCTTTTTAATAATTAGTCCACTTAAAAAAACATTCTAAATTTAATGTGTTGATTAATTATTAATTTTAATTGTATATGTTTTTCCAGGTAGAAGGTATCTTTTATGTCAACAACCATTTAGAGAAGTTGATGTTTGATGAGTTGCGCAATGCTTGTCGGCCTGGGATGGTTGGCGGATTTTTGCCTGGAATGAAGCAGATTGCTAATGTCGCTGCTCTACCTGGCATTGTTGGGAAATCTATTGGTCTACCTGATGTTCATTCAGGATATGGTTTTGCAATAGGTTTGTTCCTCATTCATTTGTCTTTAGAATATTGAAATCACTTGGCTGAATAGGGTCTACTGTTTAAGTTAACTTATTAGCCTAATTTCAAAGTAGGGTAACTTAAGTTTCAAAGAAATTTAACAAAGTATCTAGATGTTTGAAAATTGTTGACCGAACATAACTTGCTGTATGTTAGGGAGCCTATGCCTAGGCCTATCTTATATATTTAAAAAAAATTGGTTTTTCTTTTCTGAGTTCGTTTGGCTCTTCTACCAGACCGATTCTCATTATTGTGGTCTTGAATTGAAGGTATGCACGCACAGATTTGCTATCAAGCATCGGCTTATATTTATTTATAATCCCACTCGGCTTAAATACGTAAAGGAAATTTCCTCCCCATGTATTTCTTATGGGAGTTAAATTTGGGTTTTCTTAGCCGAGTTCGTTTGGCTCTTCTACCACACCGATTTTCATTATTAAGGCCTCAAATTGAAGCTATGCACACACAGATTTACCATCAAGCATCGGCATATATTTATCTATAATACTCGGCTTATACGTAAACGACATTTCCTCCCACTGTATTTCTTTTGGGAGTTAAATTTGGGTTTTCTTTGCCGAGTTCGTTTGGCTCTTCTACCCGGCCGATTTTCATGATTGAGGTCTCAAATTGAAGGAATGCACAGACAGATTTGCCATCAAGCATCAGCATATAATTAGCCTATCTATAATCCCACTCGGCTTTTAAACGAAATTTGCTCTCCATGTATTTCTTATGGGAGTTAAATTTGGGTTTTCTTTGCCGAGTTCGTTTGGCTCTTCTACCAGACCAATTTTCATGATTGGGGTCTCAAATTGAAGCTATGCACACACAGATTTGCCATCAAGCATCGGCATATATTTATCTATAATACCACTCGGCTTAAACGTAGGGAAACAAAATTTTCTCCCCATATATTTCTTATGAGAGTTAAATTTGGTATTCCGTTTCCGAGATCGTTTGGCTCTTCTCCCCGACCGATTTTCATGATTGAGGTCTCAAATTGAAGGTATGATCGCACATATATGCCATCAATCTTCGGCATATATGGTATTTACCTACTGTACCTATTACTCGACCAAAAAAACATAGGCTAGCCTAATTTGATTAATTTTTTAATTCTTACTTCAATTTAAGATGTATTCACTAGTTATAATTATATACCGGTAATCCTATATATATTTTGTTCTCAGAACCTTCAGTGAAATACGTATATAACTTATATAAACATATATAACTTACGTATATAACTTATAACTTATAGCTTTCATTCAAGCTATAAGTTATAAAAATCGGATGCGTTTCAAGCAAACGCAAGGTGAACAACCAACATAAAAATTATTTTTCACAAGGTTTTTCTATGATTAAAAATCAATCCCTCCAGTATTGTTTACGTTTTTTTATATGTTTTAGACACAAAATAATCAGTAAATTATAGGCTTTAATTTGAGCTAATTGATAATTTGAATCAGTTAAGCTCAAGATACTGGATCACTCAATCAGAAATCATAAATTTGATTATTTCTCGGATATTATATTTATTTGAACGCTGCGGAGCAGCATGGGTCCTCTAGTAGGTATATAATTTAAGTTTAGCCTAAGCCTATAAAGTTTATATATTTTTTTTTTAATATATTTTGAACTTTCTCAACAAATGTTAAATAGGCAAGGACATTTTTTTACTCCGGCATCTGAGCAGCATAGCCTACTCCAAAATCAAATCTATTGTGGATGGATTTTTTATTGAATTTTTGCATTACCTAGGATTTGTTTTGGCAATTTTATTCCGTATCTACAATGGTTAAAAATTTAATTTTTATATGTCTACGTTACTACCTACAGTTTTTTTCACGCTGAATCCGAAAATGCAATCAGTTTTTGTCAGAGAGATTCCATAGTGGTTGTAAAACGACGGTTAAAATTACAAATCTAAGGTTCATTGAGCGGTAATGAAATGAAATTAAATGAAAAATGTCTTTATTTAAGAGGCGAAGTTAGGACTTGTAGGCTAAGTCCTCTCTACCACTTAACCTCTAAAACATAGGCCTAAATAAATAAAAACTTATTCACTTATATAAGTACTGTAAATTTAAATAATCTAAAGTGCTACATTAAATAAGTAAACATAAAGAAATTAAAATTTAGTAATCCTAAAAAAATCCCATTCACATAAGCCCCCAACAACCCCTCACACCAGCGCCAGAGACTCACTCATGCCTGTTGCTCAATATAATAGATTTAATCTCTGCCCCAAACCTCGTACGGTTTTCTATGGATTTAATTTGGTCAGGAAGATGGTACTGATGGTAATATGGTGGCCTTCAGGACACCGGACGGGTCCGTAATCCCTATGTGAACTGACAACTGAGAAGAGCAAACTAAACAGCTGTTCATACTCAACTTAATGGAAACGATTTGTTTGCAGACTTATCAGATCTTATATAGGCATGTGGGGAAAAGGTAGGTCAGGTTTTATGCGGATTCGTGGCTGTATTAAAGTGTTTTGAAGTTAGGTTAGATTATGAAGGTGAAGTCAAACTGTTTTTGCTCAATTGAAATGGTGGCTGAAACACAACAAAATAACAATTTAAGTATTAACTTAATATAAATTACACGGAATAAGTGACTAAATTATGACCCATAAAAAATGTTGTGTTATGAATCATTAACTCGCAGTACAAGAAAGTAGGCCTATGCTGATTCTTATGATGTGTTGATTTGGACAATTTTGTTTGTTCAGGTAATATGGCAGCATTTGACATGGATGATCCAAAGTCCGTAGTTTCTCCTGGCGGTGTAGGTTTTGACATCAACTGTGGTGTTCGATTGCTGCGTACCAACCTGATGGAGAAGGACGTTCAACCTGTCAAAGTAAGTAAATATACCTACCAACATCAAACATGTAATGGATTCTTTAGCTAGGCATATTCTCATTTAGGCCTACAAAAAAGAATAGGCCTTCTCATGCCCATCATGTATCACGCTCCTCATCATGTATCATGTATGTACTCCTGAGTAAAGATTTATGACAAAAACAGGGATTCACCTATACAATATCAATCAAAAACATCGTTTAAAATCTAGGCCAGGGTAAGAAGCAATAAAAAATCCAACATTTGGTTATTTGACAATTAGATAACATACCCAGCTTTCATCGGACATCATCAGAGTTAAGTAAATTAGGTACCATTACCAAAGAATTAGTTGGTCGTAAGTCTGTTTCTGTTACCATTTATGACCGATTTGGTTTCAAACAAGTTTATGCCTAATCCTTAAATCGCCTTCAAAGTTATCTATGTACACATTTGTTCTAATGCAAGCCTTGCAGGGGATACATTAAAAAGGAATTATATTCATTGTAAAGTTGATTTCTTTATCAAGTCGTAACCTACTACAACTACTTCAATGCTTTAGTCTAAGGTGAGTTGTGTGCTTGTGTTGTAGGAACAGTTGGCTCAGAGCATGTTTGACCACATCCCAGTAGGCGTGGGGTCCAAGGGGATCATCCCTATGACAGCCCGGGACCTGGAGGAAGCTCTGGAGATGGGTATGGACTGGAGTCTGAGGGAAGGCTACGTCTGGGCGGAGGACAAGGAACACTGCGAGGAGTACGGCCGCATGCTCACAGCTGACCCGGCTAAAGTCAGCATGCGAGCCAAGAAGCGGGGCTTGCCTCAGGTATTATCTGGTGAAATTCTATGTAGCCTATATTCAGTGTTTGTCTTGTTTTTGCAATGAATACATAAAAGTTAGTGGGTTAATAGATTTGTGTTTAAAAGTAATTGTTACTGGATTCATCTGAGACTTTCACTAACCGAGATAATCTCTGTGCAAACTACCTTTGTTAATCGGGAGTGTACTGTACCTTGATTGTCACTATCGTAAATTAACCTAATCAAATCTAAACATCACAGTGCTCTTTAAAAGAGTGGCAACCCTTTTTATCAAATTACCTATAGCAGGAAATCATTATTTATCAAATTAAATATTTATTCAATATTTATATTGAATAAAAGTTCCATCCATTAATACAGTAAACCCTCGTTAATCCGGACCCCATTAATACGGACTTCGCTTAATACGGACTTCGCTTAATCCGGACAGCCATTGGATCGCAGTTTTAATGCGCAGAATGCTGATTAGTAGCACGCGATCGTCACTGTACGACTGCGCCCGGCGATGTGAGTGTGCCGAGTGCGGGCGGATGGTGGAGGGGGCAGTCACAGGCAAGGCGTACGTGCCGTTGCCATGGTTACTGTCACAGCGCAAGGCGTACGTGCCGTTGCCATGGATACTGTCAGCCAATAGTAGCTCAGTCACACGATTGTGTTCCTCCTGCTCGTGTCAGGCCGTCAGTTGCTCCACAGAGGTCATAGAGGTAGCACTGCTGTGTACTGTTTCTAACCATTACGTTTTAGTTGCGTTGTTACGAGTTTTTGTAATTGTGCGTGGGTTTGTGTGTAATGTGAACTGTATTTGAGGTGTGTTAATGTAAGATTAGAAATGTCTTTAAGTAAACCAGTGGATTGTAAAAAACGAAAACACGTGTCTCTGCCTCTTAATGATAAATTGAAAATTATAGAAAAACTTGAAGATGGAGCTACTGTTTCAAGCATTTGTACAGAATATAAAATAGCGAAACAGACAGTCTCAGACATAAGAAAGAAAAAGGACAACCTGAGAAAATTTGTTCTTAAGTTTAATGTTGAAAAAGAGGCAAGTTCAGTGAAAAAAATGTGTCTTCCTTCAGATCCATCCCTGGACGATGCTGTTTATAAATGGTTTTGCCAACTTCGTTCTTCTGGAATGACTGTATGAGGGATTGAAATTCAAGCTGCTGCAGAAAGATTAGCTAAACAGTTAAACATTACAGGCTTTAAAGCTAGTTCAGGATGGCTGTTCAGGTTCAGAAGGCGCCATAACATCACAAACAAAAAAGTCTGTGGAGAAAGTCTCAGTGCAAATGTTGATGAAGTTGAGCCATTCAGAATTCAATTGGATGAACTTTTAAAAACAGGACAAATACAGCTGTCACAACTCTACAATTATGATGAGACTGGGTTGTATTGGAGAGCATTACCCGACACAACCCAAGCCTCTAAAGCTGAAAAAAACACACCGGGAAGAAAGATTAGTAAGAATAGAGTTTCTGCATTGTTATGTGCAAACGCTGATGGAAGTCACATGCTGAAACCTGTGATTGTGGGTAAAAGTAAACAGCCTCGGGCTATAAAGAATGTAATGGACAAGCTACCAGTGCACTACTTCAGTTCAAAAAGTGCCTGGTTTACTTCAGACATCACAATGGAGTGGTTCCACAAAAAGGCAGTTCCAGAAATTATAAAACATCAAACGGAAGTTTTAAAAATTCCTAAAGATGAAGTGAAGGCCCTAGTTTTACTTGACAACTGTCCTGCACATCCATCAGTAGAAAAAATGACAAGTGAGGACGGAAAAATTAAATGTATGTTTTTGCCAGCCAACACTACATCATTAATCCAGCCTATGGATCAAGGCGTTATCTACGCAGTTAAACGCCTATACAAAAAGAAGCTTTTGCATGAAATTTTGGAAGTCGAGGAACCAGCTGAAGGAGAAGAAGACAGAAGAGGTGAAAAGACATTGCAGAATCTGAAAGAGTACAACATCAGATCGATGATCTTCAATTTTGCAGCGGCTGTGAGAGAGCTGAAGCCATCAACGATAGTAAACTCGTGGAAGAAGCTTCTCACTAATAAAGATGATGAGCCGGACACCGCTGGGTTGGAAACTGAAGATTTCCACAACGCTCTTATCAATGGTGGTGAGCGTGCAGTTACCCTAGATGACATTGAGCTGTGGTTGGAAGAAGATGATCAAGATCCAGGCCACCACATTTTGACAGAAGAGGAAATTGCTGAAAGCGTAACAGTGGCAGAAGAAGATGACGACGATGAAGCAGATGACATAAATCCCAAGCCTAAACTAAGTGAAGTGAAAGATCACATTGATTGTGTCATTAAATATGTTTCCGAAAGTAGCAATGAGCAGGTCTCTGGATATTATGAACATTTAAGACATTTGCGCCATCTCATTGTACAAGAAATTAACACAAAAGGAAGGCAAATGAAGATCAACTCCTTCTTCAAACCAGTGAAACCAGTTCAGTCACGTGAGGACGAACCTCAACCCTCATGTTCAAAGTAATTTTGTCTTTTTTCGTTGTCTCATTTTTTGTATGGACGTAAGTAAATACCAAGTGTATATTTTTGTTCAAATGTAACTACTGTATGTACTGTTTGTACAAAATGTATTTTTATATTCAGAATATACATAAAGTTTATCTGCAAAAGGTGTTTCATTATATACCAGGGGTACCCAAAAATCACTGTCTTTCTTCTTTACGATTATTTGTTATAATCCGGACTTTCGTTAATCCGGACGACTTGGAGCCCCAATTAGTCCGGTTTAATGAGGGTTTAGTGTATGTTTTAATACATTAGGCTAGATTGTAAGTTCTTTGCAGGACTGTACCCAAAAATCTTATACCTTTAACCCAAATTTGTTTTCCTGACTTCTTTCTAGAGTGTGTTGAAGATATGGTAGGAGGTAGATTTATCTTCAAACTAGGCCTACTACTGTACCTGAAAAAGTCCTATATTCAAATGAATTATCAGTGTTGTGTTCTTGTAACGATTTATTGTGTATCCTGGACTCTTAACTAACTGAAATAAGCTTGCCAAATTAGTCCCTTTAAAATAAATCATAACTATAGACTATTCTGTGAGTGTAGAAATACTATTTTCATCACTATATTTTAGCCATGAGTGTTGAATGTGTGTTTTTGTATGCAGCTAGGAACGTTAGGAGCTGGCAACCACTACGCAGAGATCCAAGTTGTAGACGAGATCTTTGACAAGTGGGCCGCCAGCAAGATGGGGATAGAGTGCAAGGGACAGATCTGCGTAATGATTCACTCGGGAAGTCGTGGCTTCGGACACCAAGTAGCTACAGATGCTCTGGTCGAGATGGAGAAGGCCATGAAGAGAGACAACATAGAGACAAATGACCGACAGCTGGCTTGCGCTAGGATCAAATCCGTCGAGGGACAAAACTATCTCAAGGCCATGTCGGCTGCCGCCAACTTTGCGTGGGTCAATCGTTCTTCTATGACTTTCCTCAGTCGACAGGTAATTTATATTTACACAGGCCAATCGTGATTAATTGTATGATTACATCTTGTTAGGTTCTTAAACCTGTGTATTTCATAAATAACGTAAGGTAGGTGTATAAAAAGTGAGCAGAAAAGGAGGGTGTTTTTTTTTAAACCATTAATTTTGTTGTACCATCTGTGTTACCCAAAAATATTAAATCAACTAACAAGGTTTACATAATGACTATTATTTGTGCTACAGTTGGTCTATAATGTTTTGGATCAATCTTTCAGGCATTCGCCAAGCAGTTCAATATGACCCCAGATGATTTGGACATGCACGTCATTTACGATGTTTCTCACAATATTGCCAAAATTGAGGAGCATGTCGTTGATGGGAAGAGGAAAACTCTGCTCGTCCACAGAAAGGTAGATAAATTAGCCTTTAGATTGCTTATTGCGATAAAACTTACTTACCATTTCTCGTCTCTTGTGTGTGTTACTTTGTATGCAACTTTCAACACATAATTGTGTATATTGTGCAAGCCCTAGACTTGCGTTACTATTCTGAGGAGGTTCTCAACAAGTATTAACTAAACATGAACCTATACAATCATTTTTTTACAAAAAATGCATGGCCATAGGCTACAATTAATAATCACTCCCCGGCTGTGGGGTGAGGTCTAGAATTTGTTTATTTGTATCAGAAATGCTGTTTTGTATAAAAAAAATTAGGCTAGTTCAAAATTCTTATCAGGTTCAGGTATTTTTGGTTGGATTTTAAAAGACAGCCAAAAACTTTACTTTGGATAGGACGGGCTTACCTCAATAAAACGGATAAAGATAAAAAAGTGACACAAATTATTTTATTGTGTAGCCACTGACCTATTGTTTCAAGGTCGCTGTTATTAGAAAGAGATCAGCGGTGTTTCACTCTTTCGTTCTAACAGTTGTGACATTACAAAAATAATAGGGTATTCACAATGACCTATTACCAAGGTAATAGGTGACACTTAAGTAACAGTATTATTCATCTCATTTTCTTAAATAACACCCACCTCTATGTTGTACAGGGGTCCACTAGAGCCTTTCCTCCACACCACCCGCTGATCCCAGTAGACTATCAGCTGACTGGACAACCAGTGCTGATTGGAGGCACCATGGGGACTTGCAGCTACGTGTTGACTGGCACTGAACAAGGCATGGAGGAGACCTTTGGCTCAACCTGTCATGGCGCGGTCAGTACTACCACGAGAAACTCAACATTTTGCACAATTGTTTTGAGAAAAGTCAGTCGTAGCTTTTTGATGGTTTGAAACTGAACCAAGCCGTGCTTGTGGGATTTACTTAGGTAGGGATCTGCAGGCCAGATTTTTGCTCTTGGGTCTTAAAATCGGGTTGCTTTGGAAAGCACTGATTTTTATATTATTAATTGTGATACTGTAATCTGTTTTTACAAAATTGTACATGAATGTGCCCAAATAAAGATGTAGGCCTGTCGTGATCATCTTCCACGGTCACAGTAAAGTGAAAAACATCTTCTGGGATCATGGCGAAATCAAAAACATTGTCTGTGGTTACGGCAAAATCGTCGTCATCTGCGGTCACGCTAAATTGTAAACGTCTTCCGCTGTCCTGGTGAAATCGTGAACCTTCATTAACCTTGATTTGAAGTGTCAAAGCTTTTAAAAATGTTTTTATTATGACAGTAATCCTTGTCTTTACAAATAATTTTCTTGATCCACTTTTACCAGTAGATTTAGTCAAAGATTTATAATTTTGTAAGTAAAGGAGTTGCTGATAGTTCTGTTTTGCCTTCAGGGTCGAGCGCTTTCAAGAGCAAAATCAAGACAAAACTTGGACTACACAGATGTTCTACGCAAGCTGGAAGAACAGGTTAGACTATAGACTTTTATAACCAGTATCAGACCTATCTTGTTGATTTATGTGTGGAAACTTTACTATTTGAGTTTACACAATTTCATCCTTGGGGTAATGTGTATGGTGTGTGTTGTAGGGTATCAGTATTAGAGTGGCTTCACCCAAGCTGGTCATGGAGGAGGCCCCAGAGTCGTACAAGAACGTGACGGATGTTGTGGACACTTGTCACGCAGCAGGCATCAGTCGCAAGGCCATCAAGTTGCGACCGATAGCCGTCATCAAGGGTTGAACACCTACACCTGGTTATAGGTATTTTTACGATGGCTATTACCTGTGCATGTGAGTAAAATTGTGTATAAACATTTCCTACCAAATATTTAGTATTTAAGTCTGGCACATGTTTACCTGATGTTTTAAACTGCATTTGTAATTCTTATTTTCTATTTTCAGAGACTGATTCAGCTGATGGAATGTTGATAAAATCATCTTGTATGCTGTTAAACCAACTAAAAAAAAATGAAACAACTGTATTTCTTATGAAGAATTTAATTTATCTACGTAGATTCAGCTCTAAAACCCATTTAATTATATAAAGTATGTAATCTAATGTACATAATTAGGCCTAGTATTTATTTACTATTCTCTGCAGCCTTTAGCTTTTGTACTTTATTTTGTAATATATTATCTTTGTTTTCAAAAAAAGTCTTTTCTTCGCCTTCTCTTAATTATTGGACTTGTAATTAATATGTTCTTTAGTTAAAAATTTAAAAAAAAATTTGTGGTTTAAGTTAGCGTAGAATTTGCGTGACTAGTGAACCGTTGATAAAAATGAATCATCCGAGTTATCGTGAATTGTGCGCGATTAGCCTATAAAATATGATACAGTCACAGTGAATCGTAAAATACTAAGGAATTATCCAAGTTGACGTGGAGTGTGCAGCTTCTAATATTATAGTTGTGAATATTTATAGTTCTTAGTATTTAACTACAATTTATCCCCCCCTCCTCTTCCCCTCTCGCACAGTTTTGTGCCATTTTTCCTCTTTGATTGTCACAAATAAAATGTGTAATTGCTCTGGTGTCCAACAAATGATTGATCCAGGTATATACAGAATAGCGTTGTCGTTATTTAACATAATAGGTTACTTATGGTAATCCTGTTATTGAAGTGTCACCTATCACTCTGGTAATAGATTACTGAGAATACCCTATTATTTTTGTCATCTGAACTGTCTAAACAAATTAATGGAAAAACTACGTGTCCTGTTGTTAGCGTCTTCTGTTAATAATAGTGATCATCACGAAATAATAGTACCTTGGTAATATAATATTGAGAATGCGATTATTTTTGTGTCGTCTGAACTGCTAGAAGGAGCGAGTGGAATAACAATGATCGTGTTTTCCTATGATTGACGAGCATCACAAAACATTATGGTGTTTTGGTTCTACGATTTTTTAGTACCACCGACTCACCTTATAAACATGGAGTTTGAGGGTTATTTTGTTTGTGTTTCTACTCCATTGACATTTTTACGCTTTAAGGGAACGGTCCAACCCCTGGTTGGGTTACTATTTAACATTTATAGCATCATTAATTGATGGCCCAATGATAATGATGTATGGATTGTAAAACGATTTTGCTTTGAATCGATCCAGCGAACTTAAGACTTAAGACCACTTATTAACTTATTTCTACGTTGTACAGTAGGCCTACATCAGTCTTGGTAAATAAAAAACATGTTTAAAAAATCTAGTTTAATAATCTTTTGGCTTACAAATCAGTACAATATTCCATTGAGAAATCCCTCAAATTGGATCCTAATTATACTAAGAGCACCTGTTTCTGTTTGTAACGTTACACATTATTGTCGATAAATGTTATTCCTCTAGAATGGAATGCCGTGGAATGTTAAGTTTCAGAGGATATTTTTAATAAAAAAAGTATATTTGAACACTTTATTTTGTTCATTTATGGGTATTTAAGTTTATAGTTGGGTAAAAACGTATTAGAATGAAAAGGGCGTTTAAAGTAGTAAACAATGTTTTAATTTGGAATATGATAGTGTATCAGATAATATATATTGTGGATTTTTGTTTACATATACCGTAGCTCCTAAAAAGCAACTTATATGTTGTACCTAACAAGTGTATGACAAATCATTTTTCTTACTTAACTAAATAAAACATGATTAAATTACTGAACAGTATGTCAGTAAAAAAATGAGTATTATTAAAGTTGCTATTTGAATAGCTGTTTTTTTTTTCATGGCCATTAATACAAGTTTCATCTGCTGTGGCTTAGACATTTTTTTTTCAAATTTAAATTATTTCATTGGTTTGTTTTGTGCTTAAAAAAAATAACTATTATACCTCAATTTTAATAGCAAATAGCTGTTTAATTTGATCTTCAAATTTAATTTTTGAGCATTCTTACATTTTTAACTTTAATGTGGTAAATTGTCAAAGTAAAAAAATAGGAAAGGATGTTTATATTGTATACAAATTAGCAGAGCAGGTGTTTTTTTTTAAATATAGTCATTCAGACATTTTTTATTGATTTTTTTTAAATTTTTTTAGAAGTAGGCTATGATTCATGTGTGAACAGACTAAAATCGCTTTAGTTCTAAAAAACCTTTTAAAAATTGCCACTTAAGGAAACGCTCTATGCAACATTGATATCATTAATAAATTTGTGCAAACTGATTTAAATTAACTTGAGATAAGTTAAAGTTAATTTCTCATTATACTTTAGGCTACAGTGTTATATTTTTTAGTTAACAAATTACTAAAATGTACAATTTGGGTCACGTATAGCACAACAAAATTGAGCAGTTTGGTTAGTAAAACATAAATTGTATGAACATTGCTTAATATAATTTGTACAAATGGAATGTGCATTTATAATACATAGTTTTGATTTCATAACTTATCACAGCTTTTTAACTTATTCATTCGTACATAATAAATTATTACAAATTTTAATTTACACTCAATCATTGCAAAAGCATATTGCACATACACACTTGTTGTGATGCATGTTTTTTTTAAATGATAAACTAGGTTATGCTTGCTTAAAAAATAAATTTAAGGCACTTAAACATTTTTGAAGCAAACAGGATTGGTTTGTTTTATATTAGTTTTTACTTAGATGATCATATCAAATGTAATATTTTTAGGTAGTTTTAGTCATTACTAACTAACCCACACCTCCATAACGCCCAAGTATAAAATTTGTGCGGATGAAATATACACAACAGAACAAAAGTCATCTAAAAAAATTTCCATTAAATTATATAAAAATTAAAAACGCTTAGATATACTAGGGGAAAAATGTTCAATCTCTCACACTACCCTCCCTAAAAACCACTCTAATTGACTCGATCTATTAAATTTTTACCAGAAGTTATTATCATAAGCAAAGCAATCAGTACCAGGATGTTGGGCTCTCTATAAATCCCAGGAAAGTTGTAATGGTACCCTTCACAAGAAGGAGGAAACTGGACGGGATCGGCCCACTAAGACTGCAGGGTACTGTAATAGAGCTGCAGAATCAGGTGAAGTATCTTGGTGTAATTTTGGACAGATCACTTCACTGGGGACCACACCTTCAAAAAGTCATTGAGCGTGGCAAATGGTCCCTTATGGCATGCAGGCGGATGGTAAGTGGCACATGGGGGTTACAGCCTAAACTTATGCACTGGCTGTATGTATCTGTTGTTCGACCCGCCCTTACATATGGTTCGCTTGTGTGGTGGCCAAAGATGGAATCAACTATAGCTGTCAAAGCTTTAGCAGGAGTTCAGAGGCTTGCTCTTATTATGATAACTGGGGCAGTAAGTAGCTGTCCTGGAGCGGCACTTGACTGTCTGCTTGACATGCTACCTATTGACATTTATATTAAGGTGGTAGCAAGTAAAACAGCCCAACGCCTTAGATGCGAAAACTTATGGATAGCCTCAGGGAACAATAAAGGGCACTCTAAAATTGTTCAGGTGGTACATAATGATGAATTGGACTTACCTTCAGATCACATGTCCAAAAAATACTCCTTTGGAAAGCCTTTCAAAGTACTAATACCAGATAGGAAGGATTGGTCTGGCGGAAAAGGACCCATACCCACAGGTGACTTAGAATGCTATACTGATGGTTCTAAGATCAAAAATGGGGGCACTGGAGCAGGTGTGCATTGGATGAATGGAGGCACTGGTATTTGTCTTCCAATGGGGGTGTACCCAACTGTCTTTCAAGCGGAGGTCACTGCCATTCTAGTTTGTGCTCAAGAACATCTTAACAAAGATATCAGAGACAAAACAATCAATATCTTTACTGATAGTCAAGCGACCTTAAAAGCATTAAACTCTTACGAATTCAACTCCAGGCTCGTGTGGGATTGTCTTGCTTCTGTGTCTGAGTTGGGTAGGAGAAATGACCTTACGCTTTGCTGGGTACCAGGACACTCAGGCATTGAAGGAAATGAAGCTGCAGACAGATTGGCAAATACTGCCTCTGCGACATCATTGTTAGGCCCGCAACCCTTCTGTGGCATCTCACGAAACAGTGTATGTTCTGCGATTGCGTCATGGGCCAAGGAAAAGCATCGCAAACGCTGGGTCGATGTTCCCCTTCTTAGGGTCAGCAAGCTTACTCTGTTTAGGCCTTCCAAAAAGGTTGCCTGTGACCTCTTGAGACTAGACAGACGAAGAATTAAATTAATTGTTGAACTGATAACTGGTCATGGAAGATTCAGGAAACATCTACAACGGATGGGCTTATATGATGGTGAACCGATCTGTAGGTACTGTGATAGGTCAGAAGAGACAGCTGATCACTTACTCTTTGATTGTATTGAGCTCTCTGACGCTAGATTGATAACTCTTGGAAATATGGCTAGAGGTAGATTTCTTCCTGAGGATGAACTAATTGGGAAGCTACAGGCATTCATTGGGCGCCTCAACTTGTAGGTCAACAAGAAAGCAATTAAGTATCTGGGGTGCGCAATAATTCGATTTCGGATGAAGTGCTTTAAGGTCTCGACCTGCCCCTGTCAGATAAGATAAGATAAGATAAGCAATCAGTACATTTGTCGAAAAGGGCTATATTTCTTTTATACTTTTTCTTAGATAGATTAAAAGACAAAAGCGTTTGTAATTTAACATCCCACACAAATTGAGAAAATTATGACTTTTATAGAAAACTTGAAATTAGACTATTCAAGATGCGTTATGCATTATTGATGTTCTTAATAAAATATTTATGTTGTATTGCCTTAACAAATTATCTCTTAACTGCATCAATTCCTTACAAAATTAAAATTTTATTTTAATACTCTTAAGGAGTATTTGTAAAGCTTTTATCAATCTCAATGTTAGAAGCCAATAACCTAATCTGGACAGCAGCTATTTAAATAATCTAATATCTTTTTGCTAGTTTAAAATATAAAATTTTCAACGTTTGGAACACCAAAATGTACACGCACACATTTTGGAATTTCAAATTTGTAAACTACACAAATATTACTTATTTTTGTAACTTACATTAATATTACGACTTGTATTCAACTATTATCATATAAAACAACTAAATCCTATTTGCTCCCTACTACTCGGTCTAGTCTTAAAAACTACTTGTGATGACGATACTTTGACAACAAATGAGTTTTTTTCAAGTTTAAAGTTTGTGACTATCTACATAAACAAACATATACATGTGCTGATGACTATTTCTTCATGATTTCTATTCTCGGCTGAGTTTTGGGTTGTAGCGGGGAGTGAGCGTGTGGTTCTATACTTTTCACTTCTTTTAGTTCGTTTCCCAACTCTTCGATGCTGTTGGCTTCACTAAGGTCGTCGCATCGGGGTGTCATGGCTGCTATTAGCTTCTGTAAAACAAAACTAATACGTTAGAAACATTCAGTTAGTACCGATATCTCGGTAATTCCATTCTTTATGATTTTGTTGATGTTATCGTTAACATGTGCTTTCAAGTGTTGATGTAAAGCTATTAACATATAGTAAAAGCCCCTTTAGACCACAATCTGTTAACCAGCAGTCCGGGTTAGCCAAAACCTTAAATTTTAAGAAATAGATTTTGGGAATACTGTTGTAGATTTTGGGGCAGCAAAAAACAACTGTGGTTCTTCTCTTTGAGCTGACTTAGCCTTTAAAATCCAACCACTGGTTAACCTCTTTGGTTTGGGGAGAAAGTTGGTCTAGTAGTAGAGCACAAATCCCTCCAAATCCAAATCACCAATGGATTTTGTAAAAGTGATAATGCCGCCACCTCTAGGTCTAGCCTGAAGTAATGTGAAAAACGATCTCGGGCTAGATCCTGGCGTCTTGGAAAAAAAACTATTGTGGATGATCTAAATTCTCTATACAAATTCCCTCCCATAAATAGATTGTACTGGTTAACTAGTTGTAAAATCACACAATCAAGTATATGAGTACAATTTGATTGATTTAATGTACTCGAATTATTGTGAGAATTTAAATGAGTAAACTTACTTTTCCTATAGTGTCGCCCTGAACCCTGGACAGTACGTATACAGCTGTGATAGGTATACATAGTAGGCATGTACCGGCCACACACCAACCTAGTAGCTCGGCCCACCACGGGTATCTGTAGTTGCCGTTGTTGTATGTGGGTGGCTCGTAGTCTACTATACTGAAGATGAGCACACACTGTATAACAAAACACCTCGTGTAACAGATAGTAGACAAGACCTGGGTTTGAAATACCCTTCCAAAGAATGTTATAAAATGCCAATGGCTTTAAACGCGCCAAAAACAGTATGTGTAAACAGTCCGTTATCTACAGGGGGTTGGTTTTTAGCTAGGGCTCGTAGGAAAAAAGTACAGTATTCTGTGCCTTAAAGATTCGCCAATTTTGAATATTTTCCCAATTAAATTCAAGTCATTTACTACATTCTAGCATGATTAATAAATAATAATTGTTTCTAGCATGCTCCAAGGTGGTTTAACTCAACATACAAAAATTATTCATTTACAATGTTATTCCTCGTGAAGAGTAACATTGAAGAGGAAATTTAAATATTTTGAGAGGAATAAATATGTGAGTTTTTTGGAGGTTTTGACGTTTTGAGCCCAAGACCAACCCGTGCAAAATCTCAAGACAGGTAAATCTAGAAGTGTTCTAGATTTTCCATACCTGAGTCAGTCAGTAATTTCATAAAATTAGACAAGTACAGATTGTAACTGACCAGAATGAGCAGAGGGGCCGCTACGGTCCAGCAGAATCGGAAATACAACGAGGGCTGCTGGTTGGTCATGTGCTGTATGACCCGAGACAAGCGATCAGTTCCGTACAGCCAACACACTGCGATCACCTCGAACATGGCGATATAGACCACAGCGGTCGTCACCACGTAATGGTCCATTAGTTGGAAGAAGTAAATGCCTCCCTGCAACGGAAAATTGGTTGGATTAGATTTTCACAATACCAAAACACAAGGTGACAATATTGATTAAACAATCAACATTAATCAGTTGGTGAGAAGTTTCTACATAAAATACATATGAGATAAAACGAGGAAATTCAACTAAATTGAAAATCTTTTCAATATGTTGATTGATGTATCAACTTTTGTTACATAAAAAAGGATCAATCGGTGAAGACAGCGAGACGCGAGACACACATTGATGTGTATTTCAGCTGAATATGAATGGGGTGAGTGTAGAATGGATTGAGATGATCTTTGTATGTTACTGACTAAAATCAGCTGTTTCATAGCCATGGTCATTTATGCCCAATGTTCAAGGACAGCTGGGTCTAGTTTTGACCCTTCAAAAAATTACTCACTATTCTCAGAATCCAAGTGGCGACCTTTTGATTACAAAGCGAGCACTAATGGCAAATCGTTAGTGTGTTTTAACGACAGTTCATTGCTAACCTGTGTAATGTTGGGAAGTCCTAGAAGAAAGGACACAAAACAAACGGCGAGCACCAAGATCTCATGACAAACCAGCTTGCGTTTGATCCAGTTAGGGAAGCCGTCTTGTAAGGACGTCACCACCACCTCCACAATGGCAAACTGGAATAAAATATATATTTTGTTATATAGTATTTCTTTGCTCTCATTGAAAGGCAGTAAAATTATACCTTTTGCAAGTGTAAATCTACTGAAATCAGATTCAGAATCAATATGATTTTCATTTTGATCATTTTACTGGGCAATAATACTAATATTCATTTTGATAGCCCCTGGACTACGTGCATATGATTTTTTAGGCTATGGCTTACCGTCAGTAGGACTATTTATCGTTTTTCATAATCAGATTTTGAGATTCGCATGAAACATATATGTGTGCTAATAAACTCAAGGGTATGCAACAGAAAACTTTACATTCAAACATTGACTATTGGAAAGATTCAAATGACAACCATTTACTACACTTAAAGTATACGTTACTAAACTGCAACAGCTCCACTGCTAACAATCTGCTAAGTAACAGTTTTCTGCAACATCAATAAGTGTGTCCTAACTAATTGTTTGCAGGAGTGAACTGACGCATTTTTGTTAACGATTCAGAATGGCTGATGAAATAATGTTTCAGAGACAGAAGTCTTACCTGGCTGTTTAATCCAAGGCAGAGCAGCATAAAGAAGAACAGAACAGCCCAGAAACTGGAGAAAGGCATTCTGGCCATGGCTTGTGGATACAGCACGAACACCAATCCTGGACCTATTGAAAACATTGTGATTGTGAAAAAAGTCAGCTTAATAGTGGTTACGAATAATAATGTTGCAGTCGGATTATACGAGGGCCGTTCACAAAGTAACCTCCGTTTAGTCACTGTGCTAGAATTAGTGGGGATTCCAAAACCATTATTGTACAGACATGTGTGGTATGTCAGTCCATAGTTGTGTGAGGCTTCATCAAGAATAAGGGCTGTACAAAACAAACAGGTGACATTGCGCTGCTCCGATAACAAATACCTTCTGGAAAAGTTTAATTTGGACGTATTAAAACATTTGCCCTACAACATTGCAACACAGAAAGTGTAATTGAATATTCAACAATCATCATAAATATAGTTTGGAAACAAGGTTTCACATTAAAAGTTAAATTAAATTAAACCGCGTTTTCAATACCCACCATCTGTGATGACGTGCTCGATATCCGTGTCGTGTTCTCGTGCAATGTTGCCGAGAGTGGCGAAGGCGAAGATTCCCACAATGAGACTTGTTACTGCATTTATCAACGACACTGCCACTGTATCCACCAGTATCTGCAACAAGTTTTAAATAATGTGATGGTTGTTTAAACACTCAATGTGGTATTTTTTTGAGCTGGTTAAAAACCATTTCCCGTTCCACATGACGTCAGATGCCAAGAGACACTTTTTAATGAGTAAAATAATATTGCTACTTCTCAGCAACCCATTTAAAAATTATCTTTCTCAGGAAGAATCGTTTTTGAAGTCGACAACCACTGTTGTGAATGTATTATTGGAAACTGAATTTTTCTTTTGAGGTGGTCTTGCATGGACCAAAACCCTGTTGGTACCTGACTCCTTATTTGGAGCTGTTGTAGTAAACTAGAAACTATAGAATTTACGATAACACAAGAGAAACCCAGTCAACATAACCTGACAGAAATAAATCACAATAGGCTTCACATTCTACAATAGGATTTTGAAAAGTCTACTCTTGTAGTAATCAAAGTGACTGGCATAAAGATTAAGGAAAGCATAAATGAAGTATAAAATTTGAATTTTACCGTGTTGTTGTATCTGTTGTAACTTGCAAACGAGATGACGGAACCAAACGAGATCCCGATGGAATTGAAGTTTTGTGCCACTGCATTCACCCAGACCTGAACAAGGAGATAGTTTTAAAAACATATATTTACTAAGATTCCAAACAATAATAAAATGGGATTACCAGCTCTTCAATATTAACACTATTCGTGCTGTCGACATGTTTGAACATAAAAGTTGCATTTATTTCAATGTTAAGCAATTGCGGGAATTCCCGTCATCAGCACCCAACGTGTTAATGCAACATTGATTATTGTGAGCTAGCAACCTTCAGAGGTGTATAGAACAACCCCCTTCCCACCATCATAGGGGGAGGAAAACCAAAAATATTTTATATTTCTAAAAAATCTTAAACAATAAAAAAATATGTGGTTGTGCTTGTCCACTAGTTTAGTTGGCCAAAGGATTGGCCCTTGTATGCCTTAACCAGTGGTGTGGTCCTAAAATGTCCTGTGTGGAAACGCTCATCATCGTCTAAACAATTACTTACAATTAGGATTAATATATAGGACTATTGAAAAAACAGTAAGAACCACTCCACTACACCACTGGCCTTAACCACCTGGAAAATTTACAGCCAGTTAAACTGTGACTTACAAAATAATTATAATCCTCCATTCAGGTTGGAGGTTGCATTGAAGCTATATACACTACTGAATCAATTCCCTGAGGTGGTACTAACAGTTGCAAAACAAATTTTCTCATCATAAAAAATTTTAACACCCCACCTTAGCATCTAAAAGAAGAATCCAGTTAGGCTTGAAGAAGTATTGGAGTCCGTAATCAGCGCCCTCTAGTGTGAGGGATCTGCCGAGGAACGCCAGCACCAGAACGAACGGTAACGTAGTCGTTACGTACAACACTCGGCCGGTCGAACGGACGGATTTCCACAGAGCGAAGTAGACAATCACCCAGACCAGGAACAGGCAAGCTGCGATCTCCCAGCGAACTGTGCCTGGCTTGTCTATACCTGCCGACAGCTGCAGCACCTTCCGACTGTGATCAAACAAAGGGGTTGTACACAAATAGAAGGTGGAAGCATGGAGAAAATAACCTGAATACTGTATTTTAAATCTTATGATTGGATGGCAATAGGAAAATGTGTTAAGGCTGGAGAGGAATTTTGTGAAGGAAATAGAGAAGGACTAAAAAACGAACAGGATTAAGAATATTACTGTGGGATCTCAATAGCAAAGCCTAAAAAGATTTTTAAAATCCCTACAGTGCGTTCAAACAGCCGTGGCAACTGAGGGATTAGGAGACCCCAAGGGTTTCCATGGGGTCTCCTAATCCGTCAGGTGCCACGGCTGTTTGAATGCACTGTACGCGTCTATCTAAGTTGAGACGTATCAATTACATTACATAACCTAAGGTGCGTCTTTTAACCTCTGTAAGTGAAGGATAATTTATTGTACTTGTAGACTGGAGTGAGATGTCTTGTGTAGCTTTTTTACTGACTAAGACCAGCTGTTTCATTATCCAACAATGGATGCAGTACGCAAACTATAGCGCAATGTTGAAGGGAATTTGAAAATTGGAAAAAATCTTAACAAAAGGGGTGCTACTAAATTGTGAAAAAATTGGAAGATTTTTGTGTAAATAGGACTAGCTATGAACTACTAACTGTTCATTCTAATTGAGATCCAAATCCGTGGATGAAATTGAACACAGTTTCAGGGATTTCAGGAACTATTTTGCTTGCCCCCTCTTCAATCCATTGGTTAAAATGAAGATCACAATCCAAACTAAGCATCACCTGTTTGGGTGTATATCGCGAGCAAAAAACTGACTTGATTTAGAACTCTAAGTTGAAAAACATTCAATCAATTAACCCATAAATCTCAATTAACTTCAATTACTGTCGATCTGTTGTTTTTACTAACCACTTAAGAAACAGCTGATTATGAAGTATAAATTTCAAATGGGAGTGGTAATTAGCATTGAATGCACCGTGTTAAACACCTTCGTTTGACAGGAAGCTATTTATTGTCTGCATTTCTTCATAAACAGCCAAGACAATTGCATCCTGTACATAATTTATTCAACACACCTCTGACTCTTGCATTCTTACTTGCTTGCAGTAGCTATATTTATCTCTGAGACTTATGTGGTGTTTTTTCTAAATGAAGTTTTGTCACATTGGTTCTAGTGAAGTTTTTCCAGAGTTAAGTTAAAAATATGAGTGCGGTCCAAAATTCTAAGGAACTTTTTCGTCTGACGATGTTAAGATTGGGCTGGTCGCGCACTTCCTAGTACAGACAGAAAGAGCACCTTGATGGCCCTGACGTAATTTATTGATTTTGTTGAATACACAAACTTTTTAACCAAAAGTCAAAGTGATAGTATGACTTATTGTAAGGTAAAGCATCTGTTATATAACATAAACTAAGGGAGAAAAAAGAATTTTAGACAGTAGCGAACTCTTTGAGTGGCTTAGTGAAAAATATGATATAGCTGGTCTGCTGGTCAAAACAGATAGGATGTCCACTTAAGTATCCAAGTATCAAAAAGTCACTGCTTGAAAACAAAAATAACAGATTTTGGTGCCAACTTACTCGTAAAACTCCTCTGAAGGAGATTGAGAGAAGTTTGGCCGCGTAGTGTTGAGCGAGGGCTGCCAACATTGAGGAGTGTTCCACCGGTTACCACAGTCGGTCCATGGCGCGTTGGCACGGAATGCGGTGAAGAAGTAGTATAGGAAATAGGCGATGATGACGCTGTAGTAGGTGGACATGAAGAAAGAAACCACCACACTACTAAGTCCCGCCCCTGTCAACATTAGGGAAAAAGTTTATGCCAAGTAGATAACATTTGTATCAATTATTTATTATTATTACTTTTAGTCAGTAGCGCGACCTAGGTGTGTTAGTGTATTTTAAAAGTTTTCAAAACCCTGGATTTTATATTAACCTTAATCACATGTTGTTGCAAACCTCGATAAGGAGTCCAAATCCCACTGGAGACTTGCTATCGAGGTTCTACCCTACTAGCAATATTACATTTCTCCCCTCAATTAGGCTACACAAAAAACAAAATTTTTACCTTTGAACATTGGACAGAGCTGTGAAAGAGCACCAATGGGACCTCGTCGGGTAAATTGTCCCACAGCTAACTCCATGTACAGCAGAGGTACGCCACATAATAATAGCACCAGGAAATATGGCACCAGGAACACACCTGCAAAAACATGGATAGTGAAAATATTTTCTTAAAATTTTATCAGGCTGAAATATTAACGTACCTTACAATATAATTTTAAATTGACGTTAATAAAGGTTTCGAAGCAACTGCCTCATTTTATGGCACATCCTCTCATAAGATTTGTTCAAAGGTATAATTTTAACCTTAAACCCAAACACATGTCAGTCAACAAGTAAATGTGTTATGAATAAAGAAAAAGATATGTCTTATATCTCCGCGGGCCGGAACAAAAAATGTCTGTATGCACATTAGAGCTAATCATGTACAGTTTTTTTGTTTTCCTCCTGTAAATATTTTTTAATTTATGTTATTATTGTTCACTTAAAATGTTTACTAGTGATGAATCATACAATAGGGTTAATATGTAGCAGTTACCATGAAACATAATATAGTAATGAAAAAATTTCTGGGGTATTCTCATCTATCTCTATCTCTATTACTACACAATGGGTATTCTAAGGTAAATAAATACTAATATTTATTTAAGTAAAAAAAAAACTTTAGGCCCTAAACTACTTAATAAGTGTAATTTTCCATTGTATGGATTTCCTTTTTAATCAATTATTTACAAATACATACACAAATATTTTAAAGAATACCTACATACAAAAATAAGCTATATTCGTGATTTTTCTCATTTGGAAGCTGGCTAATTACAGTTATTGGGAAAAATGGTATAGATAATTTATGACAGTCCACTAAAAAGGTTTTCTCAATTTAAATTTGCATTTAAAAAGATGCAGCTTAATAACACCAATACATCAAAAGAGTGTGAAACACCAAATTAATATTAAAAACAATGCAGATATTCCTAGATTACAAGTTTAAGACAATTTTCAACCAATTACCCCAAGTAATGGTGTGTGCTTATGTTTGCATTGAGTTTAAAATTCTTCCCACCTGACCAGCTGATTTCACAGACCGCCAGCTGTTAGAAATGATAATGATCAGCTGGTGGCAGTGATTGTTGACTTGAGGTTTGCCAGCGCCTACCTGGTCATTACACATTTAAATATGCGCTGATTGTAGACTACTTCACCACCTGTGGTTGACAATTTATTGACCGCTTACGACAAATTATGTGTCTTTATTATTCATTATACATTCAGATGTATTCAGGTTTATTTTCATTTAGAAGGTAATAAATCAGATGCCTACTACCTTATATCAACATCATGTGTGTTTATTTGCGTTATGGACACTTTTAAGGTCACATTCAACTAGTTGTCCCATCCATAGAAAAAATATCGTACGATTTTAAATAGAGGAATCCTTCAACGAAGTGCTCCTTATTCTTGCCTAAAAAGGCTCGTTCTTTTTGTTTTCTATGAAGATCGAAAAATCACTGACCCTCGACAGCAAAAAAACTAGGTACCGGTAAGCTTCAAAGATGTCGTCTCATCTCTGGCCGGGACGTTATATTTTTGCGCGTTTAAGTGTGCTGAAATCATCCTGTGTGATTTCCCGGGTTAGGATAGGACTGCAGCTTTCCCCAGCTTGTCATAAAAGGTAACACTAACAGGGAGCCTAACCTAACCTAACCTAACCTTAACCTTACCTAACCTAACCTAACGGAGCTCTCAGGATCCGCAAGGTCGTGTCACCCGGGCGCTTCTGCCGACGCGGGACACAATTTCTTCCTCTGTATACATTTGTGTTGCCCGAAGGCTCAACACCTTGTACGACTGCTGTCAATGGACACGGTCATCTCGATGAGATGAAGTGGGTGAGGACATTTGGACCTGTGTGTCAAAGTTCGTCCAGGGTATTCTTTGCCAATAAGCTCGACCTTGACCGGATTGTGGACTAGGTTATAACACAACTGAATGCCAGAAACTGTGCGTGCCCTCCGTGCTTAGGTTCATGTTGACCTAACCTAAAGAAATGTGACAAAAACCCTATATGTCCAACAGAGTAGAGCGGTTTTTTTAGTAGGCAATCTAATGAATTCAGGAATCTCACACTACAGGCTGGCCCCCCTCTGCACGTACAAACATTTTCCTTCCTCTCCCGTGTGCTGACATAAAATATGTGTTAAGTTGTGGACGGACGTTTAAAAACAATAGACCCAACGATCTATTGGAATCATCGCAAGTAATTTGCACTCTTTCTCTCTTTAAAAAATGCCTAAAGAAGAGTAGACCATTTAGCCGTTAGGTCAACAAGGGCATCGAGTGTTGGACATGAAAAACTAACTTCAGATATGGTTAAAGAAAATCCACAAAAGTGTTTCTTCAAATCTCGAACAGTAAATTGGACTCTTATACACCATCTTCAACAATCAAACTGACCAAACCTAACTGTCCTGAGCGTCGTCTTTCGTGTGGTAATTTCTACTTGCTCACTTCTCATTGGCAGGCGCCATGCAAAGCAAGTGTTCTGAGGGATATACGCCTCGCAGCTGACAAGTGGTGCATCCTCCTGTCAATGGAATAAGTGTTTCTGGCCATTACACCTTGGCTCATGTCCTGCTAACAGTCACGCGTACGACAATCTCACCTACACACGGCATAACACGCATACAAACTACTGTGGTGTCGTTAGAGTAATAAGATTACTTCTCATACCAAGAATAGATTAGGGGGATACTGCATAGTCTAAAATCTTAAAGAATCGTGGATGTAACGCAATTGAACTGGTAATCTCTGAGAACCTATAATCATAAGATAAGAAAGTAAACCCAAGAGTTCATCTAAAGCCTCCCCATTGGACCATGTAAATATAAATTTAAACATACGTTTTGTCATAAAAACGTAACGTAGGTTTTTGGACATAGTTTTAGGCGTCAGAAATGGATTTTAAAGTCACCAAACGGCTCTAAAAATATCTCCTCCCCCCTTTGGCAAGGTCCTAGAACTGCCACTGTCTCTTAAACGTTATAAGCTCACCAAATAAAAGAGAAATAGGAAATATTTGTTTGATTGCAACTTTGGTGCCTACAAGGGTATTATCTTTACCAAAGGAAAACAATTAACTATACTACGCTAGATGTCTATCAGGAAACATAAAATTCTGGGCTTGTTTTAAGTTTGGGTAAGACAAATTCACCATAAATTTACTCTGCTTTCGGTTTACAAAGTTTGAAACATCACATACTAATTTGCAGTCACCTGAGCGAGGTTCCTTTCACAGCCGGACTTTCGACGAAACCAGTTATTTTATAGAACACAATCTGGTGTAATCTGACAAGGTTGTTTATTGACAGGAAGCGGTGTTGGAGCACAATAGATTGTCCAGCACATTAGGCAATAATGTCACCATGTGAGTAATACGAGGTTCGTTCGGTAAATTACAATTATGTTTCCAAGTTCCATCTCTGTTTGGGTTTACAATATTTAAACCACACAGGAAGCATTCGCTCTCAGAAGTTGTCTTTTTCTCCTCCGTTTTTTCACCTTTGTTCAGAGGCTCGGCTGCAATTTACACGTCATTGACTCGCCACAAACCTGTTCCCTGGCCATGAGTCTTGTGGTGTGTTTGTGTTTGTGGCTAATGACTTTACTGCTTCGCTGGCTTGAGGTTTTTGCTCGATAAATGCTCTTTGCAAAAAGTGTACTAAAATTGAGTTGGAAACGTTTTTCGTGTTTATGAGCGTATTCGCACGGAGTTTTTGTTTAGGCTCTGCAAAGCCGTAGTCCCAACCATTTGTTTTTTTCGTTTATCTTAAATTTGAATTAAAGTATTTGGACTAGAAAACTCGAACATAATTTATGTGCATCATATATTTAATGTAGAATGTTTTGCATTTCCCCTGACCATCAAAATGCTACCAATTAAACAATACTGTGGTACATGAATTTGCCAACAAAATTAAACACGATTTAAAGTACTCTGTGCTTATCAATATTTTGTTTCAAGTCTACAGAGGGTAAAGTATCTCCCCTGGCTAAAAACCCCTAACCCATCGATTTTTTGATTAATAATTTGCTTTTTTTAACCGATGGTTATCAAACAGTAGACTACGATAGAGAAGTCACTCTAGTCTGTTGTGTTTGTATAATTGTTACAATACTTTCAATCCAGTCCCAGGTGAAACCTAAAACCTGTATTTTCTCCTAATGAATGATCATCACACACAAGATATCCCCAGGTGTCAGGTGAATGAACTGTATTCAGTTCTAGTGAATGATCACAAACGAGACTGTCCTAGGCTCTGCTTGAGTCATCAAGGAATTCGCAACCTCATCAGTGATTGATGTAGAGGTCGACCTTCTTTCTTTGACATCCGTTTCTTTTAATTTACCATACCATTCGTTTTGGCTATTTATAACTTCAATTGTATTGGTAAAATACCAGCTGAAAGGATATTTCCAAGAGGGTTGTCACTAGTAAAATTTGTCCGGTGTAAGTTGGATTAGGTCACCACAGATTCAGTTAAGTTAGGTTTGTTTAGGTTAGGTTAGGTTGATTCAGGTTGGGTTGGATTGAGTTAGGTAGGCTTAGGTTATTTTAACGTTTAGTGGTTTATTTATAATTACCTTTTTACTGTCCAAAACGATCCTTTGTAGTCTTAGCAAACTAATTTGGACAGTGACAAGGTAGTGTACACTATACGATAATTCAGACCATCGAGAGTCAATTCCATCGTGAAATAAGTTCGTTTAGGTTAGGTTGAGTCAGGTTAGGTTAGGATCGCTTAGGATAGGTTGAGTTACGTTAGGTTTGACGAGGTTCGCTTTCATTACGTCCATTTTCATAGGGCAAAATTTAACAGTAACGACCCTCTTGAAAAGACTTTAGGGTACTTGTACGCCAACAACAAACACGCAAATTTCCAACTTCATCCCTACAGTCGCGTCTAGCCCACGTATATTCACGAGTTAATCTGCAATGGTACGGTCGTGGAGTGGTTACACACATGAACAAGAGTATATTGACCTCCTCCACTCTTGAAGCAGAGGTAGGGGAAGCGCCACAGGTTGCCTAGGCCGACGCTGTAGCCGACGCAGGCGAGGATGAACTGCAGCTTGTTGGCCCAGTGGTCTCTGCGGGGACGGTAGTGTGTGCCTGCGTCGCTCAACGTCCCCGTGTAGGAGGTGCAGGACGACAGGTCGTCGTCGTCGATCAACCTGCAACAGAGACTGATGTTAAGGCTAGTACTCACTAGGACACCCGGTCGCTTATCAACCGGCGACCTGGTTGACGAGCGACTAAGTTGATGATTGAACGTTTTATTGCTGGGTGGTACACACTAGGATACCTAGCACTTTCAACCAAGCTGGAAATCAATCAAAATTTGGTGGGGATAGACAATTTGTTTTGTTCTGGTTCACGCTTAAGCCTATCAAAGTGTGAACCTCAATGACAACACCATGCCCCCGACGGAGAGGAAATAGCTCCCGAAGTTTTGATTATATTAAAAACTGTGGGAAGTAGAGAAGAAGAAAGAAATTGTTTAGAAGATTTTGGGTTAAAGGGTGGCTTTAAAGTAGAAATAGTTACAGCCAGCCACATTGGCACTCCTACGAGCTTTTCGACTTAAAATCCTCAAGATTTTAAGAACTATTTACTTATGTCAGATGACAGTTTCCGTCATACTAAGCAACCAGTGACACCCGTGACACCTCACATAGAAAAAAGGACGTCAGATTGAGATTTTAGCATGGTTTTGTTTCGTCAGTTCATTTTTCGTTGTACTGCGCATGCGCTAGCCGTCTTTAGTTGATCAACTTGGTCGCTGAAGCGTACACACTCTAGTTTTTTGAGAAATCTGATTGCCTGGCGATAAAATGGTTGATCGGAAACCCCCAGGTTTTCGATACATGTCCGAAAACCAAAAAGTTGCCTGGCAACCTACAAATCGCCGTCAACCAAATTGACAGACACGTACACACACGGCGATATTTGTGCAATTTGGTCGCTCGTCAACCAGATCGCCGGTTGATAAGCGACCGGGTGTCCTAGTGAGTACTAGCCTTTAGAGATCACTTGATGTGGGTCTAAAGAGGCTAGAGGTGTAAGGGTCTATTGTAAAGAGGTCTAGAGTGGCTGTAAAAGAAGGCATCCTGAGAAATCTGATCCTCCTCTCGCCTGTGCTGGTAGATGTTTTCAAATTCTATTTAAGCCCACTGAAATATGCCCTGTGAAGGTGATGTAAACTGACGTAACCAAACCCAAACCAACCTAACCTAACTTGCATGGAAGTTTGATTGGGGCGTCCCTCCTTTTGAAAGACCCGTTGACAGTAATGAGGAACCCTTGATGGGGTTCCGAAGCGATTCCGACGTACAAGTCGATCGTCAGGGCTGGTCTTGGGGGGAAGAACTAGTCGATTATGGTTGAGTGAATTTAAGGCGTTTTGCTAAAAAATACCTCAACCTTATTAAACGTTAAATGGCTGGGACCGCAATCAAGATAAATGTTGTATCACTAAGGGTAAGAAGAATCAACCCATTTTCATCTGAAGGAATTAAGGCAGTGGAAGATACGATGAAGTCCAATATACTGTAACTGTAGTCTACTACATAGAAATCCTTCATATCTCGGAGTTCGTTTATAATTTTTTTTGTCCTAGGTCGCTAGGCACGAGCCTCGGATTGTTTTTCACATTACTTCAGGCTAGACCTAAGGGTTGCGGCATTATCACTTAGATAAAATCAATTGGTGACTTGGCGGGGATCGAACCCCGGACCTCAGGGACTGAAGTCCCGCGCTCTAACCACTACGCCAGCTCGCTCCCCCTCGTTTATAAACTAGAACATATAGTTTTATAAGGTGGAAAGCCGGGATCCGTAATTCTGGGTAATTTAAATGTGTTCAATTTACTTTAAATGTAATCTATGTATTTAAAGTCTTCTTTACCTTATACCACAAGATCTTGCAAATTGTCAGCCAAATTCCTCGATGAAATCGAATGCAAATGGCCAAAAGTTACCCATTTTACATGTTACTTGGACACGACATTTATACACGTCAAAAAGTTTCTTCTCAAAACTTTTTGCATTGATATATTTACTGTTTGTGCCGATTTAGAAAAGGATAGTATCAATATACATGGTTGTTAGGATAAAGCGCATAGGCTCGGTGGCATCCATGGTTTGTAAGGTCCATCGCTCAACCGGAAAGACCTTGGCAAAGCTAGTTGCAGCTGACTATGGTGTATGCTACACATCCAGTGAATAGTCTGTCTGACGGAACCTGTCTACTGACACTCCATATACCTGTAGACTGGCCAATGGCTTAAGGCTTGGGCGAGTACCATGGAGGACCAGGAGACAGGTTACATCATGCAGACTGTAGTAGACATTTATACAGGGTTAGGCAAAAGTATGGATACATCATGTTAACTTTTCGCTTTAAACCAGGGAAACACCAAACAGTATTTATTTGTGTAAATTATAAAGTTGCCGAATCGATCTTCAAGAATGTCAAAATCAATAATTCGAAACTGGACCCTGCAGTCCGTGATCGGTGGGATGTAAATAAACGATTTTGGGATTGGGCAAATAATAAGCTGATCTTCGTTAGCAACAAAGGTATGATTTCATTCATTCAACACCCATATTTTAATCACCTTCGCCTCAAAATACCCTGGAATGTCGTGGTCGATAAAAGTCGAATATGACCTAACTAAAATGTATAGGTACACCATAAACAAATACCTTGTTAGTATCAGCTGATCTTAGTCAGCAACAAAGATATCATTTAGTTCATTCAACACCCATTTAGTTCAAGTTTAATCAACTTCGCCTCAAAATACCCTGGCATATCGGGGTCGTAAAAGATGTAATTTGACCTAACTAAAATGTATACACCATAAACAAACCTTATTTTATTAGTATTTACAGTCGAATAAAATTATTTCACGCTTTCTTCTACAAGTTTTACTTGCACCTGTCTTTACCAAGCACTTGACTACCGAGGAGTATCTTTTGTGGAATCCACACATGAAAGCAATAACTGTATTGGATCACAGATTCTTAGTATTGTAATTAATTCACTGAGAGCAGCCAGAGTCGAGACTGAGCGAAGTCATGCGACTGTTACATGATAAGATGACGTCACTCGCCACCAAAACAAACCCGCGGCGAGATTGGTGGAACTAGTCATTTACCAAATTCTTGCAAATCTCGGCAACCTAGGCTTTGGTGAGGAAATAAGCTCGTTCTAACGTTGTAGTTGTTGTTAGAAATGCGAGAATTATATTAATGAGTGTGGCTAAAGGTGTGACGATTAGCGCAAACCATGGGTCATTTCAAGGAGAGTACCCCACTATTTACCCTATACAAATGAAAGTATGAATGGGAGATATGCAATGTAATATACTTGTAATACAAAGAAATTATGTTTTTAGACATATTTTGTGAAGGAACCTAACCTATCTTGTGCGTATTTTCCATTAATCATGCACAATAAAGCTGGAAGAGTATTGACTTCAGAATATCTGGAGGTAGCACTTCTCAAGGAGATTTAGTGCCACTGGCAGCCATTTTGAATTGTCTTGGGGTAGAATATGCCTAGCTGGAACACGGTATACCCAGCCATAGAAATATACGGAACCGTACCAACCTTAGACCGACAGCATGTTTGAAATACAGGACCGTAGTAAAACTCCAAACTAGTCCAAGCCCAGATAATAAGTTCTAGCTGTGTGTGTTTTTAGTCTACAGCTAGCTCAGAAGCCTGGGCCTAGATTTCGCCTCCTTTAACCTAATCTATCTAAACCTAACATAACCTAAAATAATCTAACGTAACCTAACCTTAATTTGCAAAGGGCAAATGTTAATGGTGTCTTCTTGAAAACACTCCAAACAATTTGGGATCAACTAATTACCCCTGCAATTAAAATGAATTCTTTGTCGATGGATCTACCTGGTTGCAGCGACGCATACCAAGATACTTTCCCAACAAATGCAAAACTTGACGTTATTAACTGAAGGTGTTGTCCTGTCCAAGGACTCTGATCTGGTTTTAACTGGACTGAGAGTGTGTGCGATCCTTGAAATTCTACCTGTATATAACTGTTCGATCTACGATACTATTGACTTTGGATACTGAAAGTCGACTTCCTATGCTTTTGTTCGTGTTTGAAGACTGTTGTACGCATGTTTGATGTCTCATCTACTGCGTTGATATTGATGAAATATTCCTATCGATTTTATCGCTATCGATTTAGGAGTCTGGGTTCCGAAGTGGCTATATCTGAGTTTATGTTCAAGTGAGATTTTATTCACATTTTTCAAAAAGATGGTGTCCAGGATGAACATTTTTGCAGAATCTCAATGCTCAGCTCAAACCGCTAAGGAGTAGAACCCTAAACGAAACGAGATAGGATATAATTATGTTTATATAAACTTGTTTGCTTATTTTGACCTTATTATATTGTGAGAGGGGTGGACTCAGGGTCCTAGCACGTCAACCGAAGCTTGTGCATTATTTTGAACCAAGGAATCACTACGTAAATTATGTTCCCACCTTTTAGAACACCTTGTATACGTACTTACCGCGGCAGTCTCGGAAAGGCGGGAAGACCTGACGGCGAACACGAAGATTGTGATGAAGAACACCGAGAAGTTACGGAGTCCTTCATCGTAGAAGTTTCACACCTTACTAGCTTTCAACTGTTTGCTACACTTAAGTGCTAAGTAATGGCGAGGTATAATCAGTTTAGCGACAGATCGCTAAGGCAAACATTCGTCTTGTTATTGTAGGGTAGGAAATCACGAGATTTGCCTTGGCAGTGAGTAAAATAGTTTCACGTTTGTCAGAACCTAATCACTTCATTTTAATAGTCACGTGAATTTATTAATGATCATCCGGATTTTGACCCACGACACCAGTTTCGCGCACTAACTTGACAATCTGAACCCCAGACGTTAATGATATTGATTTTAAGTTAAACTTTCACTGACTTGCACTTCTGTGTCCCAGCTATTACTTGAAGAACAGTTTGATATTATCATCATCTCACCACCTACAATTTGTTAAAGAAGTAGGCGCATTGACATGCTGTCTGACAGGTTCAACAACTCTTATAAGTGTTCATTACTTCTTGAGGTGTCATAGAAGTTGATAATTATTTGATAAAACTCTCGAAATGTCAGTGTATTTGGACAATTCAAAGATTATC